AACGGGTGCAAAAATTCTGACCTCCAAAAAATTTGAACAAACACTTCGTTAACGATTTTATCCATTTATATGCCCTAACATATCAAATTCCACAACTGCTGCATTCCAGTTTTTTTTCGCATACACATTGCGTTTGTCTGACCACTGGAATTGTATTTTTAATGTTGCAGTGATTACAATTAGAATATTGTCCACCTTATTCCACAGCGCAAAAGCGTCTGTTTCTGCTTTTTGCAAACTTCACAATTTACCATGTCCTATCTTAGTTAATCATATCTCAAAAAAAATTACCGTTAAAAATCTATGACATACAAAATTAGTTGGTGGATTATATATAATATTCACATCATTCTCTGGGCAGTTGAACAGAAAGGTAGTTGAATCATTAAAATTCACACAATGAGTGTAAGGCCTTAAAACAGAAAAGAATTTATTTTCCTTGAAAATCCATCATTTTTGCTTGTGCCATCAGAACACATGCACATAAATCATATTCAATATCGTCGACAAAGTTACGATCTGTAAAACAGTTTTTTTTTTTATTATACTCGCACTAGTAAGTCTAGCGAGGTATATTGGAACATTCTTCACGTTTATTCATCACCTAAGACATTAAGGAAATATGCGAAGTCCAAGATATGTCAACTGATAGTATACAATCTGTCAGTTTCATCTTTTTTAAAGTCATCTGAAAAACGGAAATGTATTTAAAACATACAAGTTACAAACCTACTGCAGCGTTTGAGCCGCGTTCACTTGGTTTTATCAAACACCGTAACTTCAGGGAAAGACGTCTGATGTCAACCCGCCCTTATTTTGTCCCGCTTTCTGTCCTTGCGTAGAACGCCTTCACAAAACAAACTTCTAGACCAACAGGGAACTAGAGTGAAACGGTTACCCTCTCTTGAAATCGTCCCCACTTTGATGAGTGTAGCAAGTGTAGAGGAGGAATTTATGAGGAGTATTTTATTTACCTTAATATTAAAGATGCTAGAATGACAAGATGATATGATTTTGACTTGTAATACTTTATGGACTGCAGGCTGGAGTAGAGAGAAAGGGAATAAGGTTGCATATTGAAATTGAAAATCATGGAAGGTTCTGTGCATATTATATGGGCCCTCCCTCTCACCACCTTTGCTCATCTTTTTTTTGTGGGCGGGACTTTGTGCCAAAGTGACACATGTCACAGGTGTTTTAATTCTCAAGGTTTTCAACGAAAGAATCACTTGACAGACACGTGGTGGGCTTGTTTGTGGTAAAGGACGGTATACTCAGATAAGATGGGTTCTCCCACGTCGATATTTATTCTGCTCAATTTTAAAGGCACAGAACGTGATAACGGTATGATTTTTCCTTTTACAAGTGAATATCATATATGATAAAATTAAGAACTACAAATCGAACAATATACAATAGAAGATATCTGAATATTGCTCCAGTGAAAAATAACCTTAACGTGGATTTTAGAAAGGTCTGTTCTTCCAAAGCAGCACAAAAAGAACAGACACAGTTTCATAATCCTTCGCGAGGATAAGCCCTACTTTTGCCCCCTCCCCCGTACACACACACACACACACACCGAACACACACACACGCACACACACACACACACACACACACCTTCCAGTTATTAACCGTCACTCGTGGTTTGCATGATCATTGTTGTTTAACACTAAAATTTGACATTGGTCTCGTTTAATACATGTACATCTACTTCATCAAACGGACTTTTAACGAATATCTCATCAGACAATAAATGTTCAGCTGCTTGTCTATGCGATGAGGGAACACTATGCGCATTGGACCTTTGTGTAGCCAAAAATTCTTCTGGAAATTTGATAAATACCCCCCTCCCCCTTGATCAATAAGGTTTACATTGCACCCTACCCAAAATCGTGGAGAAAACTGCAAATTATTAAAGTGTTTTCGACGTCTCAATTTCTACTGTTTTCCGCCATGGGTATAATTCATCGGTTTCTATGTGCATTAAAAAAGCGCAATGAAAAATATAGACAGAAAACTAAAAAAATACTTAATGGACCGTAAATAATGTGAACGGTTTTATAAAAGATTCCATTTCATGCTAATTTAGGATAAGTTTTGAAATCACCAAGAAGATAATATTATTCCTGTATAAAGGTTTAACACTTACTGTTAGCCTTTTAGCAATATATGTTATATTCAAAATAAACAAATTATTAAAAAAAAATAATAGTCAAAATATTATCACTTTAACACATTCTGGTGTCAAGATTCAGACCGGTGTCCTCAAAATTCATCATTGGCGGTTCACCAAGTGGGTGGTCCTACTGCAATCAGCCATTACCAAATCTGGGACGGTAGAAGTCAAAATACAGGATTCACTCCCTGGGTTGGCGTGTATTACAGCCCACGGTTACTTACTACACTGTGTATATAAAGAGGACCATGAAAAGCTTTTCTTCACATTCTGATTATAACTGGCATTGAAAACTCTGCGAGGTTTTAAGAAGGAAGAAGAAACGAAGATGCGCTTGCTAGTCGTAGGCATTTTACTGACCGGTGAGTTCTCGTTTTTTTTTCAACTGTTATATCATTGCCATGATGCATAACTAAAAAGGCCATTGTAGAGCCAGTTTGAGAAATCAAATAAGCGATGAACCTTTAGTAGCAAAACTCCTTACATCACGCACTGTGCAAGAATCACTTGATCATTTATTTATTTATTTATTTATATCAAAAATTTCCTGTAAATTGCGTCACCTTTCCATTAAACACCGAAACAATCCATATCCCAAACCGCTAACAAATTTGTGGACTGTAAACAGGTTTTTTTAGTTTTTAATTCCAAATTTTAAATTTTGGGTCATTTTTGTAGTGAGAAGTTATGGAACTGATGAGTTTTACTCGTGTCTATAAAAGCAGAAATTCAAACATCTGAAACGGGGTTTCCTTTCTTTCTTTTGTTTTTCAGCGTTTGTCACATTGCGCCCCTTATTATTGAAAGAAAAAAGTGCATTTGATTTGTTCCGGATAAGAGACAGAGGCGATAAAATTAGTGTGAAAAATTGCTGAATATTAATACAGTTTTGTCATATAAAACTACGATATGACTCACATTGCATGGGTTTTAACATCTATTTTATAACAGTCATCCAGACTTGCCATCCATGGAATAGAAATCTTGTTCTTAATATGTACACCGAATATTCTTAACTTTCCAGTATCGGTTGTTCTTGCTCAGGATGACCGCCGCCCACCAAGACCCAGACCAAGTGGAGAACCACGCCCACCCCGCCCAAGTGGAGAACCACGCCCACCAAGGCCCTGTGAACCGTGTCCACCAAAACCAAGTGGAGAACCACGCCCACCCAGGCCAAGTGGAGAACCACGCCCACCAAGACCTTGCAGAGGACCGTGCCCACCGAGACCAAGCGGAGAACCACGTCCACCAAGGCCAAGTGGAGAACCACGCCCACCCAGGCCAAGTGGAGAACCACGCCCACCCAGGCCCTGTGAACCGTGTCCACCAAAACCAAGTGGAGAACCACGCCCACCCAGGCCAAGTGGAGAACCACGCCCACCAAGGCCAAGTGGAGAACCACGCCCACCAAGACCTTGCAGAGGACCGTGCCCACCAAGACCAAGCGGAGAACCACGTCCACCAAGGCCAAGTGGAGAACCACGCCCACCCAGGCCAAGTAGAGAACCACGTCCCCCAAGATTAGTTGAAGATCTTCGCCCATCCAGGCCCAGCGAAGAACCACGCCCACCAAAACCAAGTGGGGGACCACTCCCACCGAGGCCAAATGGAGAACCACGCCCACCTAGACCAAGTGGAGATCCACTCCCACCGAGGCCAAGTGGAGAACCACGCCCACCCATGCCACAAGGCGGGCCACGTCCTTTAGGTAGACCAGGGATTTTTGGTTAAAACAGCATCAATTTCGGTTTAAAATCCAATCAAATACGGCTTAATAAAAATATCAGTTAATTTGTGTCTTTATTTTGTACCATTACGTCTTTACTTTATTGTCATACGTGGCATATCATTCCATACAAATTTATCTTCGCAAAAAATCTAACAAATGAACTATGATACGTTAAACATTTATGATCTGTAAAACATTTACATCACTTTCACCTCTCTGCTGAAAACCCCGTCTCTTTCATAGAAAGCACAAAACCCATGATCACACAGCTGTCTTGTTTTTACGTACTTACGCGCAGATACACGCAAACATCGTGGGACAGTGTTCAAAGGCAACACCATGCATGGGATTTATATCTTCACCACGACCTTCTTGGTTATGTGGTATGTGAAAAAACTGGTTTAATCTCGCCTGCAGTTTTCTATCTAATTCCACATGTGTATGTACGCCACGCGTCTCTGTCCTGACCAACAGCTTCTTTGCTCATGTTTTTAATTAAAAATTCAAAACTGATATGACGAAATTTTAATAAACCTACAATTAATTTAAAAGAAACATTGGACGAACCTTTGCTTTGTCACAGACTCTTTCAAAGTAATCTGCATAGAAAGGCTTACGTACTACTTTCAACTTGGGAAGTTCTTATTTCCCTATTGAATACAGGGTTTTTCTGTTTAATAGGGCTGTATACATTGTATAAGATACATAAAGAGTCAGCGACTCCTCCAAATATATCTACTACAATTTATTAGTACTTCATAATGACTGAATCTGCGAATCAATGAATAAATGACCAGATTGATCTATGCTATATCAATCACTATTATAAAATAGTATATTGAACACAAAAATCTCCTCTCTTAAAAACATTAACGTTTACTTAGCCTCTTAATAAAATGTATGGTTGACCTTGTAATGTTCTGTTCATCGTGGCATGTAGGCCATTACAGCGGTCCATCTACCGTATCACACCTGCGCTTGACAAGCATACTGAGTTGAGTAACACGATGAACCTATGACCATATCAAGGACCATTTGTGGCCATCTTTCAGTCGTTTCAACAATTCCATTTGCCCATTTTGCGCCATGATAGCACCAGGGACACAAAGTACAACTCGACTCATCAGCGCTAAAACCAAAACAGTTCTCCGGACGCTGAGGACACAAGTTGGCTACCCCCAACCGAAGTTGGATGAAAATGGCAACTGTAAAGCAAGTGTGGAATATAGTAAAGCAGCGCCGTTTGAGGACATACCGGGACCCAAAGGGCTCCCACTGCTCGGGGTAACGCTGGATTATATCAGAGGTTTGGCGATTTTGAAAGCATAACTAAAATTTATTCCACCAATCGTTATTCAACGTACTAAATGTATAAAACTGGTATACATTTTCTAACAGGGACTGTAAAAGAACTCTAATTATGAAGCTTTTGTAATGAAAACTTTACTTCCACCTAAAATATAAAAATTAATGACCTCCCCCCCCCCCCCCCCCGTATAATATGATATATATCGTATAAATTTGGTGTATGTATAACAAAATGTACTCTGATTGAAGGAAATTATGAATACTTGAAAATGCGAGAAGTGTTGAAGTCTTTCCGCGCGGATTACGGCCCCGTTGTCAAAGAAACGGTCGCAGGCGACACATACGTCCATCTTTTTGACCCAGACGACATCGGCAATGTTCTCGGCCACGTGCAGGCCCAGACGGATGTTTTCCCTTTATTTCCGCCATTGAAGTTTTACCGGAAGTGGAGAGGAATAGGCGCTGGTCTTGGAAACGTGTAAGATACGTTTTTTTACCTTCCCATATATATATATATATATATATATATATATATATATATATATATATATATATATATATATATATATTCAATAATCCACGGAATGTTTCACGGTTATATCTACCATATAGCCTTCCCCATTTAAATGTCTGTTTAATACACAATTAACCGTCACGCTCTAAAAAGAACAGTTAACGGGGTCGGTTGGAAAGCAAGGGTAGTACTGGGCTCTACCAAAGGCCTACCTAGAAAACAAAAATTTTCGCAATACAATTATTGGCAAAGTTTGTGAATGACTAGAAGAATATCTATTAATATCTGGAGACAAAATTAGGTCTGCGGCACTAGTAGAGTGAAGCGTGACGCCGTGTATCCCAAATACGAACGTCAGTCTCGTTCCAGCAATGGCGAAGAATGGTCCACCCTGCGCAGCCTAGTACAAAATCAAATGATGCGTCCGAAGATCGTGGCAGAATACTTACCGCAGACAAATGAAGTTGCTGACGAATTCTTGAAAAGACTGAAAAAAATCCGAACGCCAAACGGAGAGGTGCTGGACCTGAACACCGAAGCCGCAAAATGGAATCTCAAAAGTGAGTAAAACGATGACGTCCTTCTTATAGGTATACAGTCAAACTCAAAAATAAAAATTGCATTTGTTTCGATATGGCGTTCCTAAAAAGATTGTTTGTTTAATTTTTTAAGTCAGACAATGAGCGTTAGAATTTCATATAATAGCAAAACATTCTTGGAAATTTAAACTCTTCCCACAGTCACTAAGGTAAATGGTATACAAAGCCCTGGCAACGTCAACAGCCAATGGAACCGTTTTTGTAATAGTGACATAATCAGTAGACAGTAAATACTGAAAAAATATTCTCAACAGTTTTTGACAGGACATGCATTACTGTTGAAGGGGAAAAAGTTGAAACATCCTGGAAAATTAATTAGTTTACAATATACAAGACTATCGCTTTTTGTATGCATTTAAGGAGCGTACTTTTTTATACATGTATCTTGGAGATAGATGACATTCTTTCAGCTACCCTTAGGAACTTTTTTGAAATGCGGATGGGATTATTTGAGAATGAGACCAATGGCTTCTTTGACGTCCGACAGCTGATCGAGGCCAATGATGCAATCTTACACAACGCAACTCGCCTATATTACACCTTTCCTCTCTATAAATATATCAGGACTTCAGAGTGGAATGGTATGGTTGAAGGCGCAGATTATTTGTTTGGGTAAGTATTTGCAATATATTTTGTGTCATTAGTTTCTTTTATTTCTGTTTCTATAAAATAAATTAAAATAAAAAAATATAAAATAAAATAAATTTTATTATCTTTAACTAATAGGGGATTGCCTCAATGAAGAATAATATATATAAAAAGACATCATTTCCTTCAGGACATTGCAGAAACTTCTGGACGAGACAATCGATGAAATCCAGACCCTCTCTGTCACAAATCAGCTTCCAGATGACAAGTACTGTTTCCTACGCCATCTGCTGGCGCGGTCCTCTGGCCTGCCGTACAGGGAGTGGGGGATGCTCGCTATGGACGTGGTTTTCGATGGAATCAACGCGGTGAGGGATTTCAATCACGTCTGTCTGTGTATATTTATTTCTTGCTTAATGATTTTAATTAGAATCGATAATCAGAATGAAAATCTGTAAGGACCTAATTTCCTGTCTCTATTACTCTTTTACTTTAAATTTTTATCAGAGTAAAATCTTTTTACCACTTATATTTTTAGCTACATTATTATTGATTTCTAAAACCGCATTCGGTATGGCTAAGAAAATATTTCACGTTATCAATGTTATATCAGACAAGTTGATAAATGATTTTTTTTATTTCACACTCACACATTACTAGACACCATCCATCCTTATATGGAACCTGTTCCACCTGGCTAAGCACGGACACGTGCAAGACAAGCTATACGAAGAAGTCATTAATGTCGTGCCTCAAGGAGACCACGTGACAAGTGACCACATCAAAAAAATAAAGATTTTAAAGGGGTTTTGAAAGAAACCCCAAGGTATTTCTTAAACCCCTTTAAAAAGGAATTTTCCCCCCCCCCCCCCCCCCCCCTCTTTTTTATACTAAAGATGTATCTGATTTTTGATGAAATGTAAACAACGCCCTGGAAATAACATATCATAGGTCTACAGAGATTTTAAAAAGGTAGGGCCTAATCGTTTCACGACTTGCATCTTGAATCAGATACAGTTCTAAAACACGAGAGGCATCTCGACTAGGATTCTTGTAATTGCCAAATTAATTCGGCATCGATTTCTTGATCCATTCAGGTTCTTCCCATTGTCCGTTGAGTTTTCAAGAATTCCAAGAGAAAATATGGTGCTCGGAGGTTTTCAGATACCGAAAGGGGTGAATATTTTGGATAGAGATTAAAAATGTTTCAAGCTTAGGTGCAAATAAATAATTTGACCTTTTTGAAATCCGCACAATAAAACTAATGAAAATTAACGAGTATTTGGGCTATTATTATTTAGAAAGCTTAGAGGGAATTACGCAGAGTGTGCATCAGCTCATGAGAAATAAGGATTAAACGAAAGAAAATTTAGAGTTTGACGTACAATGTAGGTGCAAAAATCTGCAAATAGACCGACCACTAATTGTAAATATAAAGACGACTTGTCGTACATGCACGACATGTACAGGTTTGTCAATTTATGAGTATTCCTCTGTTGCAGACCGTCCTTTCACTGAATAACATCGTACTTTTGGACGACCCAAAATATTTCGTCTCCCCTGAGAAGTTTCTACCGGAGCGGTGGCTGAGGGATGGCCCCGCTGTCGATGGAGAAGTTGGCAACCCTTACGTGTTACTTCCCTTTGGCAATGGCCCCAGGATGTGCTTAGGTTGGGGAAAAAATCTAAATTTTTTAAATTCCATTTATTACTATTATTATTGTTGTTGTTGTTCTTGTGTTGGATAGGATATAAGAGGACACGCATGTATGAAATATTTTACGCTACTCACACAAAAGGTGTCATAATTTTGCCTAGTACAAATTTTAGTATCATAAGGCCTCACCATTATGAAAGAAAGATCCCCAAATCTTTAGAAGAAAGACACCCACCAACTTTGAAATTGCTGGATACAGGTCTGAATAGAGACAATAATCTTAAAGAGTTTTGAAATTGTCAAAGTATCATTATACATAAAATTAATAAAACGTTTTTTTTTATCTTCAAGGTCGACGTTTCGCAGAACAAGAACTGTACGTCATGATCGCCAAAATTGTCCAAAACTTCCGCCTGGAGTGGCTGGACAGCGTGGACATGGGTCAGTTATACCGGTCAGTGATGGTGCCGGACAGATCGGCCAGGATCAAATTTACTGATAGACATTAACGGATCGGAAATATAGAACTCTCCATGTAAATTACTGTAATATTCAGTGGAAAACGAAGGAAGAAGTTAAAATGTTGCCTTCTTTGTAATATGCATTTTATTTATTCATTTATTTAATTGCTTGTCTTGATTATTTCCACTATATAGGCCTATGCAAAATCTGCTTTTCAATGTAAATTGCCATTGCCGTTTCATTAGTTCAAAATGTCGAGCTGAAGAGAACTTCACTGAAATACATTTTGAAATATTGTGACAATAATGAAGAACTGAAGTCCAACCATCAGAAAGCACTGTAAAAAAATTATTGAAATACTCAGCGTTTATTATTATTATTGATCAAAAAAGCACAAACACGTAGCTGTTTCATACATAAAGATGCTTTTTTGCTTTATGAAAGCTCCTAGTGATAATTATTTCGGAGAACCAAGGCTGGCGTTCAGGTTAACGTTTATATTTATTTACATTTCACTCTTAAAACGTGTAAATGACCGACATTTAAACCCAGTTGCAGGAATAATTTTTTTCTGAGACGCTGTAGTTTTAACCCCTGCAGTATAGCAATACTGGTCGTGTGTGTGAAAGAATTGAAAAGAGAAGTGATTAGCATGACACTGTTGTATTTTTCAAGTGCTCCAAAATCCTCCAGAAACTGTTAGTGTGTGGAGCATAAAATATGTAATCCACGCTGCAATATTTCTCAAGGATCTACATACATGTGTAAGGGCACTTGTAAAACACAACTTTGTCATGTTCGTTGTGTTAATCGCTTCTCCATTCGATGCTTTCAACCCTCTGTTTTCATTATTGACACTCGATTTAACACCCAAAGTGAGCATATAAAAGCCTAAGCGGTGCTGTTTATTAATTCGATCAAAGGCCACGCGAGCGCGTCAATAGTTAAGTGTTTACGCTAACACAGATTAAGTCACGTGACTAGAAACCCATATCGATTACTCAAGCACCTGGCAACGGCGACAATAAACGTCCCGGGCCTCCATGTTCGATCGACACCGAGGCCCGTCGTTAAGTAAGTGTGGCCATTATCGTGGGCATCAGGCAACTGAAGATTTCCTTATTTTCAAAGTCGAAGTCCCTCTTTCTGTTGTGGACGACTGGAGGCGGGTTCCACATATCCCCTGCCCCGTTTCATTCCAGTTTGACGGGCTGAGAGGAGGTAGTGTGTCTGAACGCTGTCCTCAAGCTACATCCAACGCTGTGATTTCGGCGCGTCGAGGTAGGTAGGTGTTAATTAAGTGATTTGCCCCAACGACGAGATTGGCAGAGTCATTAATTAATGATACTGTATGTGCTTACTTTAATTTGATTCACGATGAGAGAGAGAGAGAGAGAGAGAGAGAGAGAGAGAAGGGGAATTGTGAGGGTAGGTTATGTTGCCTTGGGTCGATCAGCTGATGAAAAGTTCAACTTATGTGTTCTACCGGCAGCGAAGATTCCCGCACCACACAAGTCCTGTGCAAGGAAGAAGATGGCTTTAGACGAATACTGCATCTTTCCGGGTGCAATAAAAGATCCTGGTTGAACACCATTACCTCTTTCCACCACTCCCATACGCGAGAAGACTCTTAGAACATTAAAAATAACCGGAATATCGTAATGAACAGCACGGTGTTAAATTAAAAACACATGCCATTCAGTATAATTTATTTTAGTCCAGACGCTAAGTCAGCATTTTATAGTTTACACATTTATTGTTGGCGTTTGTAACGCACAGTCCAAAAAATGTGTGTGTGTGTGTGTGTGTGTGTGTGTGTGAGAGAGAGAGAGAGAGAGGGAGAGAGGGGGGAGAGCTATTGGATCCATGAGCACCGTCACGTCTTTGTTAAAATTAAATGACAAAAATACTCGGTACTCCAATATTTTGCTTCATAAACCAACTCCATGTCGTTAGAAATATAATGATGAAACATAATACAGCCGATACTATTAATTAAGAATCCGCTATGTAAGAAACACTCCTTCGTCCTCAGGCATCTCTTTATCCAGCTTAGCTTGAAAAGAGTATTTACCAGTATAGCTTTTATTATTATATTTAAGTAGCACTTAAAATCATATGCTTTTAACTGTGGTAATAGGAAGCGCTCAGATTTCGATTTTTTTTCGACACAGACCACATGTACATTGTATTGTTGATGTGTCCTCGGAGTAAAAACAAACATGAACTTTGAACCAGTGAAGTGTTGAAAATTTGACCCCCGACTCCAATATTTACTCCATAAATATTCAGACACGGTCGCATGGTGAACTGATCACATTAATTGGCATTGAATTAAATCGATAAGTAATAATTGAGGAACATAAGCCACGTGTAAATAATGGAGTTCGCCGAATTTTGTACGGGGTTTGGGGGGGGGGGGGATTACTAACCTTTATTAGGGGCGCCTCTCTTTTCATTGTTCCAGAATTAAGAGATGTTATTTTATAGAATGGAATAACCGCCAAAACTTATTAAATGTACCCTAGAGAGAATGCAATATAATTAAACAATATTTTAACGATTTAAGATACTTACTTTCTCAAGCACGCGCGTGCACACACACACACACACACACACACACACACACACACACTGTCCTCTGTTGCTTCTATCCTATCATTCGAGGTCTCTAAATTCATACGAGAGAAATACATAAATTCACAAAATTTTCACTAGATATTCACAGCTATGTCTCTAGTCAAATGATGGGATGTTGCTGCACTATGTCGCGCCAGAAAAAAGTGCACGTAATAAAAACTAGTACAGGGCTGTGATATACGTTTGAATCGGTTTAAGGTATGGTTTTTTTTCGGGGAAATGCGATTATTTTCCCTCGCTATGTATTTGTATGTCAAATAAAGCACTGCCAGCCTCTCGAGACAAATACCTTGAACACCTGATATAAAAGTTCGAGGTGGTCTTTCCCATATCAGTCAGGTGACGAAAGTTATCTCACATATATCATCATGTCATTTCCTATATTGATATGAGCCATGTGCGTATAAAATAATGTACCTAATGCAGGTGCATATGATCAGCGTATCTTGTCACAACAGTCTAGTCCATATCCGAACTCCTTCTTGCTTTCATACCATTCTACCTGTGGTGCATTTATAATAATATCATTCCAGACTATTGCACGTCCAGTAAGAATTTAATGTTTATGATAGTAAAAACTATTACTGAGCATTTAAAACTACTATTGCCAACTTTTTCCCCTGCATTTTTACTTAGAAAGGTTACTTGAGAAAGCGTTCAGGCTGTGATAATAATAATAATAATAATAATAATAATAATAATAATAATAATAATAATAATAATAATATTTTTTTGTTTATTTGACATTTCAAAAGCTTTTATTGTACCGTCAAGGCTGACACTTTCTGTAATCAATCACATATCTACAGAAAGAAAGTTGATCCGCGATGTTATCAGAATTCAGAGAGCCAACCCCTTCTTTTAAGGAAATTGATTGATAACCGAACTGAATAAAACGAGAGGTCAGTGATCCGCGAGTTTGTGGTGGAGAGTTAATCGATTTTGTATACGTGGCGATTGCTGTTTTTGTTATTCGGTTGACAGCGCGGTGTGATTTATTGAGTGGCACTGGCTGACTAAACTGTAACCAAAGTCTTCACACATTATTAACTCCGGCAGAGAAGTTTCCTCTGATCTCGGCCAGACGCGCGTTCATGCTACGCTTGATTACAATTATCGAACAGTATGAGAAAGTGCTAATGTACCTTTTTAAGATACATTTAACAGCGAGGATATATGAAATGTTCATATGAAATTTAGTCCTAATCTAATTTCAATAGGCCTAGCCTATTTTTTTTTTCAAAAAATATTTTATGCATAGGCCTACGCCTACATTTTAAATTCTGTTGTTTTTTTTTCTTTTGCTAATTTTAACTTTTAAAGTGAATGTAATCCTCCTCACCATTCAGAACAGACAAAACTAATATCTAGCTACCTTGAAATTTCGAGATAATATATTTTTTTTTAACATGACACCAGTCGTCTTCCGTAACGTCTAGCCTCCTCGGGAGGAAACTTAAGTCAACAAGCTCAACTAAAACTCTGTAAATGAGAGCATAAACAACAAAAATTGTAAAGAACATACCTCCTTCAATATATTGTGTTATAATATCCTTGAATAGCACTGACATTTATTGAATATTTAAATAAAAAAAAAATAAAATGCAACTTCACCCAGCCGATCGCAGGTTTGTTTTAGACCGCTAGACGTCCGGCAGCAGCGTTCCAAGACAAGCTAATGTTTTACTGTTCCTTTGAAGTTGTATTAAAGTTAAACTGAACAATAAAGTTCAAAAACAAACTTTATTTATGTTTTGACAGATTTTTATTGTTGATAAACGGTCGTTCTCGGTCAAAAGAGATGAAACGTCATGTCTTGTGAAACTAAGAATTTTTACACCTCCTTTTCTTGAAGAGTTTCTCATGCGCGTCGACTACGGTAAGCACATCGAGCTAGGACTTTAGATTCTTTGTGAAACACTCCTAATCGACCTAGCTAGGTCACTCAACTCGAGCTAGTCAAGTACGGATTTAAGATTCTTTGTGAAACGGGGGCCAGAAGTTGGCCAGGGTGCAGCTATGAAGCCATTTTATTTATTTGCGTATCGTTTTTATTGAGCAATCGGCCCATGATTTGTTTAAACGTGCCTTATCATGCAATGTAAGTATACACTGTGAGAACTTTTACCTGCACATGTAGGCCTACTACATGTCTCGATCGTCAGCTGAGACGTATCTTTCTGTGAAGTGTGTGACGATAAAAAACAAAAACACCGTTCATTTCTGCCCAGTAACGACCCATGACTCTTTATTGTTTTTGGTCAGCTTCTGAAGTTAGATTTATAAAAATATTAATAATAATAATAATATTATGAACTCTTTCATCACTTTTTAAATCTATTGGATACTATTCTAAACTGAATATAAGGGTGCTTTCCCAGAGATTTAGATCGATCTAAAGATTAAGATTTAGATCGACCTAACTCCCTGGGGGTTCACGCTAAATTGCAGTCAGCCGAGTGGGCACCATAGTTAATTACCCCCTTACAGCTTTTAGTAGGCGGGACAGACGCTTAAGCCGGCCAAGCTGACAGTAATCTAGTGAGACTCCCCACAGGGATAGATCGATCTAAAAATCTATGGAAATGGGGTGTAAGTAAACGGCAGACTTGGATATGCAGGTGGATGAAAGGTCAACCGATAATTTAAGATAATTGACTACCATCCTGGTTTGAATAATTCAAATTACCTCTGTTCTCATTGTCATTCCGATGGAGCTTTGATAAAGTTTTTTTCCATTCTTTTTTACATTAACATTGTCCAAAGAAAGAACGGAATATTGAAAACTATACTTTTTAACCTGCAGGTAGGCTACGTGCGTCACAAATAAGGGATTGAGTAGTAACTTTGTACGTAGTTGATTTACAACGTTGAAATTGTTCATAAGAGACCATCCTATAATTAAAGATGAGGATTGTAGTTTGTCCATTCGAAATACACAAACACGACCACACAGGTATTATCAAAAGCGACCTACTAGTAGGATGAAAAAAATATATGAGTCACGAGATACGCTTTCTTTTTGTTTATTTTACCTCCCCTCCTTTAAACATTTTTAAAAGGCGTGCTTCATGTAGCACAAAAAATACATAAATTGTCCGACGGGATAAACTCATTTTCTCAAAATTCCCTTTCACTCCATATTCATAAAAATCGTTTTTTATTCTACAATAGTTCACGTCCTATTCATTTTCAAAACGTCAGAATCGTACCTAAATAATGTAAGATACAACTCAAGATACAACTCGCCAGTCACTAACTGCAGAAAAATTGAAAAAAATTGAATGTATGCAATTCGTTTAAGTTGAACTCTTCTTTAGATTCAATGCAACACGAAACGGTAATCACTGTATGTGCCATACAAATGTTATTATTTAAAAAAATAAGGTTATTCACAAATATTTAAGTAACATTAACAGAAACACAAGAGGCAATCTACAAACTTATTTTTATAAGACCACCATCTCCATCTTTTTAACTAATTTAATCATATAAGCTGAGATTGAGTAATCAATTTTCTTATCTTTTTATTTCCAGTATGCCTGCATGCCTGTGAGTCCCTAAAAGAAGTCACCGTATCATACCCGCCACCAAAATGTCGAAGAAATCAGCAGGTGGGAAGAAGAAAAAGGACGAGCCGCCGCCCCCGATCGGGCCGGGCAGTAAGATTTCGGCCTTGCCCAAGGTCGTCTTACGTCACGTGGACCAGACGCGGGGCTGGAAAGTGGACGCGAATTTCTCAACGTCTAATATGAAGGTCAGTGAATAATCATATTATTTATGTTTATGTGTGTCAGCACGTGAGACTTTATTCGACAAAAAGCATATTGAGTGTTCGAGTTACCCGTAACTTTGATTTATAAATGTACCTTGTGACGTATGTCCTTAAAAAGTGATATGGCCGAGAATCTTTTATGATACGAAAATGAAAATGACAAATTTATGACTCTAGAATAAGCAATGAAAGTCCTGTTTTACAACCCGTGTTATTACTTTAAAACCTATCAAACTACATTTATTTGTAATTGTTTATTTTCATTCTGTGTTTCTTCACGTTCCCTTTAATACTAGTAAATCTAAAATTTCAATAAGTTTCTATAATACAGTATTGTATCAGCCATTTTACGTACAATCTTCCTGGCTTTACTTAAATTATATTCTTACATATTCCAGGCTTTGCCAGAGCACATTTACAAAAACGAAGAGCTGTCAGACCGTCTTCGCGCCATCTCTGCGCCGAACAACAGGATGAAGAAAGTCCCTGGCGGAATTTCCGTCCTGCAGTCTATCGAAGAGATCGACTTCAAGCACAACACCATCAGCAAGCTCCCTGGAGCAGTCGTCAAATTAAAAGCCTTACAGTGGCTGGACGTTTCGGAAAATACCATCAAAGCTCTCCCAAAGACAATCCACAAAGCATCTTCACTAACCAAAGTCGTGGCGTCCAACAATAAAATTAAGAAACTGCCCAAAAAGATTGGCGACATGCCGGCGCTTAAGGAGCTAGACGTTTCCAACAATTCCCTTAAGACAGTACCCAAGACTGTATATAAGAATCCGATCAGGTTGAATATATCGGGGAATATGCTAGAAAAATTGCCCGACGTGAGCTTAAAAGCGGCACATTTGAATGAGATTGACGTATCCCGAAATAGGTTGATAATGCTCCCCGAAAGTTTGGAAATGCTGAAATGTCTATGCTGGATGAACATATCCCACAATTCATTCCAGGAGCTACCGGCGGCAATCGGGCAGCTACGGTTCTTAAAGTACCTGGACGCGTCTCACAATCAGATCCTAGACCTACCTGACGAACTCTGCAATCTTGAGTACGCTCTACGAGAGTTGCATCTCTCTCACAACCAGCTCGACCGTCTGCCGGGCGATTTCGGGAAGCTACGGGAGCTCCAAATCTTCACATGTGCCCATAACCGTCTCAAGGGTCTACCTGCTAGCTTTTCTGACCTAAAGGCCCTGAAGAAATTAGACCTCGAGAAGAACCGTTTGCAGAGCATTGATCAAATCAGCGGGCTACGATCCTGCCACACTATGTTGTTTGCACACAACCAGGTGACGTCACTACCAGATAACATAGATCAATGCTCGGCACTAACCACGCTCGAGCTCCAGCATAACGGGTTGAAGGCACTGCCAGAGGCACTGGGTAAAGCCACGTGCCTTAAGACAATTGACATTTCACACAATGAGGTAGAAGTGATACCCGAGCAATTAGGCGAGAGGCAACTTCTAGTCACGATCAACGCTGCACATAATAAGATCTCAGAACTGCCGCAAGATCTACGCCGCCTTCGGACCCTCGAAACCCTGAACCTGGCCCATAACAAGATGACCCACATACCGCTTAAAGAGTTCGCCAAAAATTTTGAAATGTTACTTCACCTCGACCTGTCGGCAAACACGAAAATAAACGAAGTAATCACTCCAAAATCTCTGCTTTCTCTCGGACTGTCCGAGATTCTTCTCAACCGACCCGAGAAGACGTTCGCCGACTTGGCCTACTTGTCTGAGCTGGACATCTCCAGTACTCAGATGGAAGAAGTTCCAGGCCCAGTGTGGAGACTCCGCTCCCTGACCAAACTGAACTTAGCCAACAACCACCTTACCTCTCTCCCGGAAGAGATTTCCAAGCTGAAGGCTTTGCGCGAGCTGGACGTGTCCAAGAACCAGCTGACCGCTCTGCCGGACCAGATTGGAATCCTTGCCTGGCTGACGCGTCTTGATGTCTCGGAAAACCGCCTCGAGACTTTCAACCCCGAGCTCACCAAGTTACGGTACATGCAGCACCTGAATATGGCCCACAACAAGATGATCATGTTGCCTGAACACTTCGGAGAAATGGGTCAAATGGTGACCTTGAACTTGGCCGACAATCGTCTGCAGTATCTTCCCAATGATCGTATCGACGTGATGGCGTCTCTAACTCACCTGGATGTCTCCGAAAACTGGATACAGTGCATTCCAAGCGACATGCCATACCTGTACCGCATTCACGTGCTTCTCTTGGCTGGAAACGACATCCGAGAACTTCCCAAAGACATGGGCAAGATGGCGATGCTGCAGAAGCTGGATCTCTCTGACAACCTCATCGCCGTCATCCCAGACTCTTTGTGCAAGTGCTCGTGCCTGAAAAATCTAGACATTTCCGACAATCGCATCGTCACGTTTCCGCGTGGTCTGGACAATTTACGGAACAAACAGCAGTGCGAGGTGAAGGTCGAGAACCAGTTCACAGGCAAAGAGAAGCCGCCGCGCCCGAAGCTACCAGGCTCGGAAAAAGAGGAGGAGGCTAAATCGGCCAAACCAAAGAAGGGGAAGAAGAGCGGAAAGAAGGCGCGTACGATCACACCGGGTGCCGCTAATGTTAAACCGAAGGGGGCCAAGAAAAAATAAAACTGTGTACCTAGATCCCCTTGGGGTTAATCTGTCAGGAAGCTCTGATCTCTTAGCTAGTCTCTTGTTCTGACTTACAGAAGCAGTTTTGTCCTTTAAAAATGTAGTTTACCACTGGTTTCGTATTATTTCCATTAATTTCTGTGCCGGTTACAGAAAAGTGTCACGGAATTACAAAAGTGTCACGTGTCCTTGTCCAGCCTGTGTTACAGCATGGCAGTGAACCGTGTGACGGAAAGTCTCGAGTAGATGGGGGTTAAATGATAAATAATATTGCAAGACTCCCATACATGACAGCATTACTCTGTGCGTTTACGACTGATGATCAGGTGCTGTCAGAACAATTGCTGGTGTCTTTGCATCGTTTCACCTTCATTAAGGATATGTAGAGAAAGAGAGACTTTTAGACAATTTTGTTATCTACGCATCATATTAGTTTCATTTCATATATTGAATAGCCAGTCCAGGATGGACTATGATGATGTTTTGTAACACAGCGACGTTAGGTGGCGCTGCTAGCAACTTCATTTTGATCATCCTTTATGTTTATATATTTTTTTACTATTATCACATAATGTATGACAAATAGTAGTTACGGTTTCAGTTACAGTTAGCTTCATTTTTCGTCGTTATTACAGCATGTCGGCTTGTGCGTATCAAAATGTGACTCCTGAAGCCCGCTTTACAGAAAGATTGTTTACATGGAATTATTCGTTATAAGATATAAGGTTTTGACAAAAATATTGTCTTTCATGGGACCTATGACCTTGCTCAATACTTGTATGTCATCTCCATAATGGCTTACTCTACGCATTGAATCTTATTTTACGCATTCCTTTCAACATGCATTGACTTCCTATTTCTACGCAAGCGGCTTCACGCTTATTCCCCATTTCTTATTTTTGAACGGGGTCAAGATGTAATATGTTCAGAATTATTGTTTTATTTTGTTGCACTATCTTGAGAAACATATATAGATTTGTTTCAATTTCATTATTTTTTGGTATATTTTTGTACTATCTTAAGTTGCTAGTATAGGTATAAGGTGAAAGGGAGGAGTACTTAACCCGAGATTATGATAAAAACACAAATTAGTGAATTATGCATATGTATCTGACTGCTATAATTAAAGATCAGGTTTTCTATGAAATTGCGATACTAAATTATATGCATATTTTAAAGAAATTGGCGATTAACGCCAGTGCTGCTAAGTGACATATTTGGTAAAAAAAAAGGATGGAAATAAGATTAACACCTTACATTACTGTTGCTTAATTGCTGTAGCATACCTTTCTTTAAACAATTCATATCAATTAAACCATACGTTTTGATAATAATTAATCGTTCTCTTTCATATTTGTACGTAGGTGTTTTAACTCTAGTGTCATTATTAAAGCCGTATTGTAGACTATCTGTAGTACTTACATTACTTGCATATAACTATATGCTCTATGTAGCTTAAATGTCACTAAGAGCTATAAATTGCATCATCTAACCGTGGTACAATCTCTGCTATCATTTAAAATAGTAAAGAAATCACCACCAGTATACGGTATAACAATGTTACATCATTTATTCAGAATTTCAGATCTGATGCTGTCTATTTTCTTGGTTTTAAAACCTTCTCCATATTACCCGCATATCTAGGCGGACGGGTTGACACTGCTTAGATACAGACCTTTTTTATCTAGGTCATTACAGACATTTTCTATTTAGGTCATTCAGACTTTCCTTTTCTAGGTCAATCTTTGTAATTGACAAGATCGTCTGCTTGAATCTGGAGCTCGGGTTTGATGATCATAGAGAGGATGAGAATATATATTGATAAATTTGGAAATTAGAATGCACGGGCACTTGGTGAAATGTAGAGGGCTGAGGGCAATAAAGGAGAGTATGAGTAGCAAATGATTTTACAGTCTGTAAATATTGAATAAATATTATTGGAATACAGTACAAGTACACTTGGACTTAATGGCTTTTCATTGAACTGTAATTTTGCAAATATATGTTTGGTCTACTGGTTGTTTTACATGTGTGTTTCCGGTTCAACTTTGAAGAATTTTTTATCGTCGATGCTTTACTTCTAAGATTTTCAGATTTTACCGATTCATATATCACGTTGGCATTCTGAAATCTTCTAAACGAAGAATAAGTAAGGAAAGAAAGAAAAGAAACGAAGGATGATAACGCACGACATAGGCCCTGTTGCCGAGCACAGGCAGTGGAAAAAAAGGCATGATTTCTTAAGCTTGCGGTCACGTCTGTCGCATATAATACGACACCGCTGTAGTTATTACGTATTGTACAATACACATATTAATTAAAGCTATTAATCAATACACCAATTTCAAAAGTAAAATCCTGCCTTCTTTATGATTTCTGATTCAGTAACTTTCCCGGTATAGTACCAAGTCATACCACCTGAAAACCGCGTTCAGAAGAAAAAAAAAAGAAGAAAAGAAATAGTATCACCGGCGGCTTTATTTCCCCAATGTTTTTCATAAAATTCGCATCTTCGCAATTGCTTGAAGGGAAATCGCACCTCTTCTTACTTGAATAGAGTCAATACCTTACCCGGCATGGCACCATCCACTGTCATACCCTTTCATCAAAAAGTGCTGTCTCCTCGGTAGGATTATAGCAAATTTTTTCAAAAGCCACGTCACAATATTGCTTCTCCAATTCATACATTTTGTTTTTTTAAGCCCCCCTCTTGGGTTCCTGCTTCTCAAAACTGCTCGTATGGTCTTACAGTACCCGGGGCAACTCCACAATCGACATTTGTTTATTTTTTATTCATTTATATATTTATAAATTTTTATCAAACAAACGTCTTAACAAACGTCAGGGGACAGTTGAGTCGCACAATATATTTATGTTGCGAATCTTAACTCCGAAAAGTGACACACAATTACCTTGATGAAGATGTTTTCATTATTTTCAAATTCCAGGAGCAATATGTTATCGAAGAGACGATAAACCGGTATTTGCCTTCATAAACTTGTTTCGACTAGGCTTTTTTCACCAAAAAGCGATAAAAGAATATAAAGCGTGAAATTATCGGAAGAAACAATGGATTTCCAATACGATAAATATATTAAGTTACGTTCTTTTTGCCTGGCATATAAACGATATACGTAAGCTGCACAGGTGTACAAATAAACACTCTCACCGTAAAAACTCATGGGATCAAAGTTCAACCCAACAGGTAACAGGTGGATTGCATCGCCATCTACCGGGCGTCGCACCTGTTGTATCACGTGACCGGCTTGGATACGTGAATTGCGTGCATGGAAACAATGGTCAGTGGAACGATGGCGCGGTCCTGCTGAACTCGAAGTGACAATATCTCCGAGTGTTCAATCAAATCTAATAATCAGCCGTAATGCCTCATGCTGGATTCGAGGGACCCGTGGCTGTTCAACGCCCGGCCACAACTGGTGGACTATGGTAAGTGACACGCTGCATTATTAGAGAAATTGTAACACTGAGTATCGCTTTCACTCATTGAGAGCTATCGTTGATAGCTAATTGCAAATTGGACCTGATTGCTGAACCACGCTTTTTCAACTTGAGTCGCCATTTGAAAGTTTTGACATGTAATTCGATATTTCAATTGAAGGTATTTCTATATTTTGATTGTACGATAACGGAAAATAATGACAAGCACTCCTGAAAAATTGTCAGCAATTGTCATTGTTAACATATAATGAGCCTATTCACCGTGCCTAGCGTATTACAATTTTTCCTTAGGTTGTATAGACTAAAACCTTGGCTAATTTTGCCAGGTTCTGAACATTTTTAATGGAAAACCTACTGCCATCCCCCCGTCTAACGATAGATATCCAAGATAAGTTTCCACTTGCGACGACTGGCACATTAATTATTTAACAACAAATCAAGAAAATGTCCGATAATAAATGAATAATACATAACATCATTTCAGTTAATTGAGTGCCTGCTTTTATACAGTGTATTCAACTATCTAATGTGGGTATGCAATGCACTCGCTGCTTCGTAAAGCGCTATATACTGGAAATTGCTAACGTGACATCGCATAAACAAAACTTTGATTACAAATGCAAATCAATACGTTGACGCAATCTAGTTTATTTGACATCGAAAAAAAAAGGCATCGAAATTTGCAAATATAATTTGGACCATTTTGTATCATAAATTTCTCTTCTGCTGTGGAACCGATTCAACCTTTATCGTATTTGCACCGGTTTTTATACAATGACGCATGGTGGGGGGAGGCATTCCATATCAAAGAAACTATGGGAGGTTTATTATGCTAAGCTGTTTACATGTAAAAGCGCGTGAGTACACAATTTAAATAGAGTCACCAACAGCGTTATCAAAGCACCTGGTTTATTGTATTATGTCTGGACCCTGCGCGTGGTGAATGAAATATGCAAATATTTAGAGTCATGGCTTACTGTGACGACACTTGACAATTTTCCATGGTGTTTTTTCATCCTTTTTATTTACATTTTCCAGCCCTTTTTCGATTGCTTGATTTCAGTTATCTTTTGAAAAAAATTTTTTTTTTTACATTTTTATGTGTCAACATAACTTTGAATTTTATTTTTTCTTGGAATTTTTTAATTGAAACGTAAACTTGTATATATATTTTTATTATCATAAATATTATTTCATTTTCCCGTCTCTTTCGTCGTTTATTAAATTATTTATTCATATTTCATTCATTAATTATATTGTCAACTTACGTGTCTTTCAGAAATAATTTAATGGAACGTATTTCTTAACTATAACAATAGTCTGTTCATAAATAACCACTCATATGTTCTCAGTCCAGATTTAACAACTTAGCTAACACACAGGCGATAAGTAACATGGAAGAAGAAAGCTTTGTAGCTAGGCAGTCTGTTGACTTACTCTCCACATTGAAATGGTCCAATAAATCAAGTATCGAAATAGTATCGACTTTACTGTGTGAAGGACTGTTTTAGACGATAAGGGACGATAGTTTATGTACTTGTAGTTGTCACGTCGATTTCAAAAACGCATCTCGGCTAAATCTTTTTGGTCCTCCCAGTTGCTTCACAGACAATCAAAAACACACCCGCACACTCACCTGTAAAAGTACGGAGAGAGAGAGAGAGAGGGAGAGAGAGAGAGCGCACTAATCTGACCTAAAAACCAGTACACCCATTATTTTCGCTTATCTTAATATAGGCCTACACATACAGACTTGGCTTCAAGTATATGTATTTTCTTAGAATAAACTCCAACTGTTTGATATATGCCGGTCTGCCAACAAATAAATAAATAAATAAATAAATAAATAAATAAATAATAAAAGACATTATTTCAGTTAAGTCTTATTCCCCGTTTCACACACACTATAAACACACAGTGCCATATATTATATTGCATACGTAACTCAATATTTCAATCACATTTACAATTTCGTATATTTTCAGGAATCGCAATCCTACCATGTCATTTGATGAGCTGGAGTGGGAATATCGCCACGATGCTTGCTTGTTCCACGTAAGTATACTTCATGAAGTATAAAGAAAAATTGAAATTAAACATAGTGAAATATGTAATTAAATATAAATACAAACAATAGTGAATAATGAAATATAATGAATTTGATAAACATAGAGTGAAAAATCAAATAAAATTGAGTGAACTAAAACAAAGCATTACCAAAAAAATCACTGAAGAAAAAAATTTCCGACTTTCGTTCACTGTTATGCACTATTACCATTCCAGAACACACATAATCAGAGAGGATTCTATCTCATTCACCCAGACTGGGTTTCTGAGAGTTTCAATCCTCCAACTGTGCCAGAGAGAGCCCGCAAGCCATGGCCCTACGAATTTCCGGGTGCGCGCGCAATGCACGATCCAAAATGGGATCTGCCTTTTATAAGACAAGGTATGCCGGTTATTTATTAACTTATTTAAATAGTTAATAACAAGTTAATCAGTCGTTTGATCTGATTGTTTACTGATATATTTATCACTTATCATTACTGAAGTATTTACTAATTTTGATGTAGATGTTTTTTGTTCTTGTCTCGACTTTTTATCTTTTAAAGTGTTTCTGAAAAAAGGAAACTGTGAAATTTATATGAAAGATTGAATAATATAAAAGAAAAAAGAGCGGTATGCAAAGCAGTCTTCAAGGTAAAAACTTATTTTATGAAAGCTGCTAATTTTCCATACTCTTGTTTTCAGCGTGGAAAGCTCCAGCCGCCATTGCGGAGATCGATCGCCAGCTTCACAGACCACGGGCCTTCACGGGGTCAAACTGGACGTCTGTCGGAACCCTTCACTTCAACGGCCGCGATCCCACAGGCTTTAAAGCGTTCAACTACCCTGATACGTTCTTAGATAAAAGTATACGTCAACCCTGGGCCCAGCATCTCCCAACCTGGAACCCAAACGCTAGAGGCTCTCAGACGACCTCCGGCGGTACCTCTTTACCCTCTTTAACAGGACTTAATGGACAAAATAATGGACAAAGTTTTAAAACGGAAACCAATTACAGAGCGTCGCAATTCGATCCCCCAGATATTGCGTCTCTCCGACTCATGTCCGGGCGCTACATGTCTCCAGTTGATTCGTAGAAATTCGACCAATCAGAATATCGATAAGTAGACATCACCGGTTGATTCGTAGATTGTTCAATCAATCAGTCAGTCGCTAGATGCATTTCACCAGTTGATTCTTGAATGTTACACCACTCGAACTTGAGGCTTGTTGACAAAGTTTTTTCCCCAAAAACAAATTATTTTTCTGGTCATACCCCTATAATTTATGTACTGAGTGCGGGGTGTTAAACAGTTCGACCCATTTGATCGTATGACATACCGGTATGCATAAGCATATATATATATATATATATATATATATATATATATATATATATATATATATACTAATGTATGATATACATATTATACAATGCATCTGCGCTATGATGTTTGTGAAGCTAAATTCGCATAACGCTAGTCAACAAACACTTTTGCTCAACTTCTCTTTTCCGTGGCGGGAATGCTAAAGTATTTATTACACTAAGATGTACCAATGTGTAAATGGTACATGTAACACGAATCGGCTATGCAGTGTGACTGCCTAATATTGTATTGTATTTCAAGTTGTCGTACGTGTATCTATATTTGAGGACTGTATTGTCTCATAGCTGGCATTTGCTCAATGAAAATGTTTGTTTTGGACTTATGCAATATGGTTCAATGAACATGAGAAAAATCAAAATCACCAAAAAGAAACACGTTTGGAGTAATTATGGCATATAATTTTAGCGTGTCTATATAATAGTTTTTATCTTTTTACATTCTGTATAGGATGCCGTGCTCAATTTTCTAAATTTGATCTCAGCAATCTTGCCTCTGTTTCTTTTCTCCGCACAGATATTTTTAATTGTCCAATAAGTTAAACATAATGCAAAATCGTTGGACAATGTGTCGTGTGTATATTTACTGTAACGTTAAATCTATACGCGACTAGGTGAGTTTCTATAAGTGCCAAATATTGTAACATAAGACATCAGAGTTGGGTCATGTGGTCCCCACGTGGCCTGCACGTGATGTGCACGTGGTGTGTGGAGAGGCATTGACAGCACAGAGAGAGAGACTATGGTGAATTTAACGTATCTAATTAATTGAAATATTGTTATGTTTTCATTTTTTCTTATTTGCAGTGCATTAATCTTTCTATAAACTACCTGTANGTCATGGCCTACTTATGACACTGTATTTCTTTAACACGTGGGAAGTGATTAAAAAAAACAACAGCCTTTTGAACATCAAGGTGGTCCTAAACGCTATGCACAATTTCAGTGATATAATCCTTATACTTTAGTTTACAGCACGATGAATGTCAAAAATATGAAAACTTACTTCGAGTAGCGAAAATAAGTTTTTTTCGCATAAAACTTTTACTGCATTTTCGAAACTTCCACAAGTTTACCGGATGAATGACCATGCCACGTGACATTTTTATGCTGAAGGAGTACATGATCGGTCTTGTGATTTAAGAAATAAAGCCAATGTTCCAACTTACCCGCGTTCCAACCCACCCCGCTCTCCCCTACTCAGAATGACAGTACTGATTGTGCTTAATGCAATGCTTGTTTTCTGACATATACAGTAAATCTTTCATTTGTACCCTATCGGAAGTAATTTTTCAGGCTGAAAGACTCATTTTTTTTTTTTTTTTTTTTTTTTTTTTTTTGCCTTTACCGAAAAATCAACATGATTGCAAAAGAAATATAAATTACGATATCAATTTATAAAAGAAAATTCAAGTGTCAAATTGACAAATTGATGATTATCTTTTAGTTTGACAATCACTTACTGGTCTTGCTAAGAAAGCTTTTCTAGCCTTTTTAATTTTCATCCAATTGCTCAATTTAGCTCAATTAGACGTGTTAAAACTGTGCTCATACAATTATTGATATCAATAAAATATATTTAAATTCAAAAGTTTATTTTTATTTTTCTTCCGTCCCTTGGTTTACGCATTTATACTTACTTATAAAATTTTTGGTGTTCGATTGCGTCAAGATGATTGACAGTCTGCCCTTAAATGAAGCAATTTATGACGGATTTCTGGGAGTTGTCATTAAATAATATTTTTTCTAGGGATCAGCCCAAACCAGGCAAGGACACCACGCGTCTGCAGCATTCAGTAGTACAAGTATTAACAGTCACTGTTGGACGCCTCGAAAAACCTTACACAATAAAATACACTGTAAAATCAAGATATGATAATTCAAAGTTCTGAAACTTGGATCTTTACAAGTTGGATTTATGGCACGAAATTCTTCTCTTTGGTTACGAGCGCGCGAACACTTTCTTGATTAAAGTAGCCTAATGCAGAAAGAGTGAGAGAAGCTATAAAAGGCAGTATGTGTAACTGTCAAAACAACCTTATTTTGCACAATAAGCATTTTATTCACAAATCATAAACGTAAAATACAATACACTCACGTAAATTACATACATTCTAATAAGCATTTATATTAATTTACGATATCATTTACAAACGTAAAATACAACACACACATACATACATTCCTATAAATATAGCGCTTAGCACATGGTACGCGTACATACAAAATTTGTTCTACCTATCTGAATGAACACATATCCAGTATAAAAAAACATAACAAACCACAGACTGTAGCATAAGTTAATAAAAGCAAAATAAAAACAACTATTGTTTAAGCTTTTTATACAAGACAGCATAGGCTGACTTTGTTCGATATCCTCCCTATAAATATCCACTGCAAAGCAGGTTATAATAATTATGCAGTAATTTTGCCCAAGCCGTTCAAATAACGCTCAATACAACACACTTGCACACACGGTGTATATATATATATATGTATGCCGTTTATCCAATATCTACAAATCAGGTCGCCATCTTACTTACTCAGCAAGTTAGCAAGATGCTTCTGACCGCTGTTTTTGAGATAATCGCGCAGGATGAAAAACGCCCTATCTTCCTTGGACCTTATGATGTCCAGTAGCGTCTCTGCTCTTTCCTGCTGTGTGCAGCACTCTACGATCAGCTCAGCTTCAGCACCGGTGAAGATGCCTTCGCCTCTGAGTCTGTCCAGTATTTCTCTCACGCCAGGCTCTGTAAGGCTCATCACAAAATCCACCTTGTTTCCCCGCAGCATGTTCTTGTGTTCTTTCGTCATGCCATGGTGTCCTGAAAAATAGAACTGGACGTATAAATCTTTACACTCTTCACGAGTGAAAGTGAAAACACAAAGGAAATGATAATGTGCAACATTTGTACTGTTCTCTTGCTGTATGGGAAAGACATTCACACTTCAGCTTATTCATTTGAATTGCGGAAAAACATTAAATATCTGTATAGGCCAATCGAATGACGTTGATCGTTTAAGGTGCAAGTCCCATAATGTCTACATATGTACCTTTGTAATCATTATAATGATCATACCAAATTATCAGTACATAGAAACAATGACTATATATATTAAAGTGCATTAAGTACATGTCTACATCCGAACGCTACCTGATATTGCTGGGTACACTAGGGTTGACGGAATACACCCATCGGGGGCAAAATCACACGGCAAGAAATCCTCAAGGACATCTTGTTCTGGGTCGTCCAATATCTCGCCCGGAAACGTGGTAGGAAATGGATTCGACTCCCGGACGCAGTGCGGGCACAGCAGGTACTTGTCATAGGACACTCCGGGCCATTCATACTGCAAGATGTCCATTTGGTCTCGATGCAGCTTCAAAAGCATCTCCCACAGGCGTGGGAGCTGTTTGCCCCGCACGGCAACTGTGATCACCCAGTCGCTACTGACCTGGTGGCGGCGGAGATGGATAGTACCGGCGGCAGATTCGGCATACACGCCGTCTTTCCAGTCACATCTTCTCTTGGTGAACATACCCAGGTGCCTGTGCAGTCTAACTGAAAGCTTCTCAAACAGCCCGTCCGGACACCGATAAGGGGTGTATGTTTCCAGACTCAGCTGGAAGGTGTCAGGCGAGAACTTTTCGGGCCATTTTCGAGGACTTTCCAAGTCGTGTGGTTTGGTCTCGGTCAACAGCCAGGGAAAGTGGAAGGTGTCGCTGTTTTTGGCAACAGAACTGGCGCCTTCTATTCTATAGCACAGCTCCAGGTTTTGCATCAGCTCTATCATTGCGTTTTGTTCCCCGGTAGACAGTTGGAATGAGTGCCAAAGTCTACTCATCACGTCCCTGGAAATGATGCCTCTCTGCAGAACGTCTTGTAAAATGTTCTCAAACGTATTTTTGCTGTAAGTGTGCTTAGCGAGGAGATTCTGTTTTATCTGGTCCACGTCGTGGTTCAATACGGATTTCAAAAGGTCAGCCAGTAGTTCTGGCTTGTGAAAAATCACTTGGCGCAGGGTGGTGCTGGTATCAAACCATATCACTTCTCCGCTGCTTGACATGTACCTAAGGATGTCCTCAACGGCGCATGCAATGTCCTCCTCCGATATACTGACATCTCCTTTTGGGCCATCTGCGATTTCGGATCCTCCTGCTGGACACGCGTCTTTGTACTCGTCAACTGGAGACTCTTGGTACTCTCTTAAAACGTTTCTGACATATTTCCCAACATCTTTCAAGGCTAGCGTATTGCACGTTGGTTCATACTTAATGCGCTCCATCTCGTGCATGACGTTTACCCAGATTCCAGGTAAAATGACCCCCCTCTCCTTGGCTAAACTCATGAGATGAGCAATAAGCTCTGAATAGCCAGTCATATCCGCAGAGCTAACAAGAAATATCTTCTTGTGCACGTTGGTCGCAACCTTTTCCAATGAGCGAAGATGCTCTATCTTCTGTTTATACAGGTTACACAGGTGGCTGTTTGCGACTTGCTCCATGCCAACTTTGCGTTCCAAATTAAAAATCTGATCAAGCATCCACTTCCCTTTTGTGTCCAAGTATTCCTTCAGCCTCCCGTGCAAGTCGTCACATATCTCTTTGGCCTTGCTTTCTTCAACTTTGTCAAGGTGCGTGCCGACGATGGTGACGGCAGTTTCGGGGGTCCGTGATTGGACAGTTCGCACCCAATTGCCAACATGTTTTTCGTAGTGTTCTTTTGTGAACTGATACGCGGAGAGGTCAAATACGACAAGAGAAACGCCGTTTTTGTGAATGAAGATAGGGAAACCAACCTTGTACACATCATGGCCACCAAAGTCATTGATGTTAAAACTAACTTCCTCATCAGGGCTCCAGGCTGCTAGCTCTATCACATGGGTCCTGTCCGCCTCCTCCGTCAGTATCGGTTTCCCTTTCTGAAGCGATTTTGACAGACTGCTCTTACCACCTGTCGGTTCCCCGAGTAAGTTTAATTGCAGTCTACTTGCCTTAACTGCTCTGGTTTCTCTGAGTCCACGTAGAAAACGGAAGATGGCATCTTTCCCATTTTCGCATACAGATTCGGGCGGTTGAATGAGCGGATTGCCAATTACGTGCAATTCTTCAAGTGACCCGAGATGTTCAAGTTGCTCTGGTAAATGGGTAATCTTGTTGTAGTTAAGGCTGATTGTCTTCAACTTTTGTAATTTGGCGATTCTTTCAGGGACTTCCGGGATGTTGTTCCACTCCATGGACAAAGCCTCCAAAGACTTGAGATGGCATAGGTCAACAGGAAACTCTTCGAGCACATTCTGATCAATGTTCAACGATTTCAGTTCGGTAAGCCGGCGGATGTCTTTTGGTATGCAACCAATCTTGTTTTTATTTAATCTTATATCTATTAATTGAGAGAGGAGACAAATGTGGATGGGAAAGTCTTCCAGAGCGTTCCACGAAATGTCAAAAATCTTTAAACTGGTTAGCTGTCCGATATCTTCAGGGACAGTCTTGATATTGTTGGCGCTTACATCTAGATCTTCCAAAAGCGTGAAACCCAAAATCTGTTCAGGAAACTCCGTAAACTCATTGCCATAGATCTTTAAGGTTCTGAGTGAGGCTAATTTTCTGATCCTCTCTGGCAAATTAGCAATTTTGTTGCGCCCCAAATCGAGGTTTTCCAGTTGGGTCAAATCGCAAACGTATTCAGGAAATTCACAAAACTCATTCATAAAGATATCAAGGGTTTTCAACTTGGTCATTCTACCGACGTCCGGGGGCATCTCAATGAGGTGATTTCGACCAACATTCAGTTCCTCCAAACAGGGAACATCGCACACGTCGACGGGAAGTTCTTTAAAAAGATTCCGCGAGATATCTAAGCATTTAAGATGTTTGAGCTTTGCTATTGATGGCGGAAGTGTTGTCAGTTCGTTTCCACTAATGTTAATCAGCTTGAGATTAACACACTTGTCAATGCTTGACGGCAGTTTAGTCATCCGCCTGTTGCTGATGTCTAGATTCCCCCATAAGGTGATGTCTTCTGGTAGGTCACAATTCTCATTCACCTCCAACATCCGCAGTATGCCTCTTCTTACCGTCATTGTCTGGATTTTTGTCTCCGCGATTTAAGCTAAAATGGAGACGAGGTTTGTATGAACTACAAACATTGATTTGATAACAGAAGGGGTAGGTTAATAGTGTGATTAAAGAGATAGCAAGTGTTCATTTTGGTCGAATAAATTATTTTTCGGGGAAAACGGCAATTTTCCCATTCTTACCAACGGTTAATGAATCCATGGATTCCGACATTCAGAGTAATTCAATGTTTTCTTTCTAAACAGTTAAGTTTTTTGTAATAAACTTTTAAAAAGACATTATAAGGAGGTATAGCCACATATATAAAGGTCCACGTTGTCTGATGACAAGCACAGATTCTTGAATAATTGTGATAATGGTCGTTTTGGCGGTAAAATGAAATTTATCATATTTTTGTGAGTTGTTTACAATGCATTTATTGTGAAATATGAATCGCATACGAACGGTTGCTATTTCTTTATTATTAGCATAATAAAAGACTAAGTATTCCTGCAAGCAAACAATCTTACAAAGCGCTCCCTGCGTGGAAAAAATATTGTAATTTTAGTTCAATAATATAAATACTATTTGCCAAAACAAGGACTGTTAAAGTAGAGTTTGTTTGTTCAGTTTAAGTTGATACGTGCACATACTAGTACTAGTGCAACTGCAAACGATTCTCTGTACAAAAGGTAATATATTGCCGTAGAGGAGTGCATGCCAAAGAAAACGAGCTTCTGTGGATCAATGATGAGATCGATGGACGAAATATTTTTGAAATATAGTTTGTAACCTAATGATACTCTGTAACTGGTGACTTTTTATCGTTCTTATCTTTAAAATCAGATCGAAACAATTTGTTCAAAGTTTGTTTTTCCAAGATGATCAGTTGTACCAAAAAAACAGCATATTTTTTGTTTTATTGTTTGTCTACTTGACTTTATATACTTGTGAGTTGCATTGTCCCCTTTAAAACCTACATAAAAGTATTTTACTCTTTTCCCTTTCCTTTATCAAAATAAACACAAGCTACAGATCTGATGCCCAACAAGTACCGCCCGAGATAACCAAGAATGATCCCTAGCTTACAGTATCAATTCCTCATGGTATAAATGAATTCGAACTGCAACTTGAGTCATTTACCATATTTGTACCATTTACCGCTGAAGCCGTCGGCAAACGTCAAAACGTTTTGCATGGTTGGGCATGCATGTTTTGTGATGAAAGTAGTATGGTTATAACTGTTTGTGTCAGAAGCAATAACATAAAGTAATATTGAGTGATTTTTTAAAGAATTACAGTGCTTACCTTTACACGCACCTTGTTTTCGAGAGAATTGGATTTAAAATTCCGGGTGTGTTTTCCACTAGATATATATACAAGTAGAGCATATACTAATAAATTATTATAGTTTTTCAAGAAATAAGTGCATTTTTCTACTTATTCGAACGTCTTCTAGTATTAAATTCAAATTAATTATGCGAACTGAATAATGCTAAACCTAAATTAGCATTATTTTTTCTATTCTAACTTAATCCACTTACTAGTATCTGCTGTTATCTTCACTCTAGAATCTTGCAGAAGCTTCTAATTGCTCTAACATAAGAAATGTTAATGAAAATATATCGATAAAGATAAAAAACGAGCAGAATCAATACAGGCGGGGAGAACTATGACGTCACTGTGAATAATTATAACCCATGATTATCATGAATACTATGTTATCGTTTCATGCAACCACTAAAGTAGACAATGAATGGGCGGACTTTTGTGCCGAAATCACCAAGAACGTTGAATAAACAGGTTTAATTAAAAAAAGTATTTTCGAGTTATTTTTTCCTGACGTCACTGTGGGTCTTCTGAAAGTTCATGTACTAGAAAGAGGCATGCCTACTGGATAAAGCTTTCTATAGGTTTACACACGGCCTAAAGTTCACCTCAGGTATGAAAACGTGTGCACAATTGCAAGAATTGATTGAGAACCATAGTGATGAATGACCCAAGGAGTCAGGGGTGGATCCAGGATTATTTGAAGGGGGTCCGCGGATACAAAGCCACCCCCAACCCCCTTGGCTTGGGTTTCAGGGCCCGGCGAAGAGCCCCTATATTTTTTTGGTATTTTACAGGGCGAACGGTGCCATTTGGTATGGTTTAAAACTATGAATCAGCTAGTCAAAATTCTTGGTATGATTTTTACCATTTTTACCTTGGTATGATTTTTACTTGGTATGATTTTTTTTCAGATATCGAAGGGGGGTCAGGACCCCCCTGACACATCCCTCAATCCACACTGATAATTACAGAGTTGCCGATCTTTTCGGCTCCACAGTATGAATGGTTGCCTACTTTAATTGCTACTAACCATCAATACACGACAACAATGTGTCGCAGATCAAATTCTTGTACCTATTTGTCTTGATATTGATTGTGCTGTGCAACTTTTTCTAGGTTCGATATACCCCCAATATAGTGTACAACATAAGGTGTTAGGTTTTACTGTAGAAAATTTATATTTCATTTATAAGCATTGAAAGTTGACCTGCCTAGTAAGCTGTAGAGACTTACCATTTAAGAGAGGTTTTAAGATGGTACACATGATCCTCTGCGTGCATTACGAAAAAGTTATTACCGTTCACATACGTGTCTTATTTGACCTTATCTAGTGCAATTCAAATACATGTAAATGGAAGATGTACGCGGTAAAGCAATAAACATACATGGAAAACTTACAACAGGCTTTGAAAGGGGTATAGCGGCCACGTTCACGATTTCATTACATTATAAACCTAAATTGGTATACACAAAAGTCGCGGTAAGTTGTACCTTCGGTAAGTTTTTCCCTCCACCGCCAACACCCTAAAATATTTTGTGCTGAGAGAAAGTACGTCTTGATCGATCATTTTATTTTCGCACAATACAGTTTGTGCAATTCAAAAGAAGCAGCAATGCTTTTTAAATCTTGTGCCTCCTTCCAGGGTCACAGAGGGAATTTTTCACTATATATTCACAGGCTCTTTGGCTAATTACCTCCTCCGCCAAGGAGGTTATGTTTTCACCCCTGTTTGTTTGTTTGTCTGTCTGTCATCAACATAACTCAAAAAGTTATGGACCGATTTTGATGAATTTTTTAGGAACTGTCAGAAGTGGGCCAAGGAACAGATATTTAGTTTTTGGTGGTGATCCGGATCAATAATCAATTAATATTCAATCAAAAATAAAAAAAAACTAAATCATTATAAGATGAAAATTTAGGGTGAAACGGCATTGGGTGGAGACTTTGCTGCCTTGGCGGAGGTCTGCGCTCTCGGAGTGCTTTTCTAGTTCTGTACATTTTTTGCACTTTTTCCGCAGATCAGGCTCCGCGTTGCTACAGCTGCGCTTACTTCACAATCAGCACATCTCAGAAAGTCACATCTACCGCATTATATGGTTTAACATTTGCGTGCATAATTTCAAGAGTCTAAAACAGATAAAGAAAACATCATGTTCGTTTTTTTTTTTTTTTTTTTTTTTTTTTTTTTAAATTGGTAACTGCCACCGATTCTTATAACATAAACAACAAATTTCAATATAATAGTAACAAATCGATTTTAATTGATTGTAGCTTTATCAGTAGCTGCCAGATGTAGTTGTCCTTGATAAAAATACACATTCATGGGTTTTCACAACACAGTTCAAGTCTGGCTGTATATCTGTTTTTCAACCCCCCCCCCCCTCCATCTAACCCCTATTCACTTTCTAAATATTTTGTTTCTGTCACAGAAACTAGTCTTAAAGTTAACAATATAAAGTGTTCAGCATTATGCTCTATGATATCCAGCATGTTAATCAAAATTCCACCATGAAAAAAAAAATACCGAGTCTTGGAATGATTCCTTTAATCTCTTGAATGTAAAAGTGTTAGTCACTTTCTTCGTCAAGAACATTGTTAAAATGCTCTTTACCACACTTCAAATTCGCTAAAACTGATCTTGTGACTCATCAAACTATATCCCTCTTATTAAATTAAACCCCAAGTTCACACAATGTATTTCTCTGCATTTACATATTTACAAAAAGAACAATTATCTCTTAAAAGTAAATGCCCTAATTTTTACTCCTTCTTGGGTTTCTTTTCAGCATTCCAGTAGAGTACTATCTGCAAGGCTAAAATGCCGTTACATATTGTGGAGACTACAAAAGTCAAAATAACGATGTTGTCGCCTGTCTCCTGTATGGACGTGAATATTCTGGCCACAGATCCCAGAAACAGTAGGTATATTGTGATGGCTGACAGCTGCCCTGTGCTTTGGTTCTTGAAGTTCTCCAAGGCCTGGATCATCTGTGGATAAAAAAAAACCATTCAGTATCTTTTGATAACATTAACTGGAACAGAGTCAAACTGGGACAAATTAAAACACTAAAGTAAGAATTCAGGAAAAATATTCAACTTATTTTTGGTACCATCGTCTGAAGCAAAGTCATCCAATTTAAGACACTGCTCAGTCTTTGTGTGCTTTAAACCAGGTTTTCAAAATTCTATTAGTTAATTGTTGGGTATAAATCTAGATATTAACCAACATCATCCCAATTTTAGGGAAAAGAAATCGTCCCACAGTGTCTTGGTAAGGTCTAGCACAATTTACAGGACTCGTTCCCTATGGTATCACAACTAGTAAAACATTTCTTTGGCAACACATGCTGCAATCAGTTTCTTATTTTTGTATATACATTTTTGTAAATAAATTAAAAGTTTAAAATGTTAATCTTGAGAAAATGAAATATTGGAATAAGTCAAGTGCTTGGAACATGGGGTACTGTGACTGATAGTTACTTGCAACCAGTACAAAATTCTATTTACTGTCAAAATTTCTTTAAGATAAAGTACAAGTATCACTTTATGTCATACTGTGAATAATGTGAAGTAATACAGACCTTGCTCAAAGCCACAATAGGCATATTACTGGCCTGGAGTGCCCACAGCAGTGACAGCGGTGCCGCCGGAGACATCAGGAACCCTACTATACCAGAGACAATGAGGAAGAAGCCGAGGGCGCCACCTGTGTTGCCACTGAAGTGCAAGACAAGACACCCCACCAGTAGGGTCTGTATCATCATGAAGATGCCTTCTCCATAAGCACTGAAAAGACAAATGGTGGATTATTTAGAGGGTTCATTTTTGAACAAAAATAATCTTAATAGCTTTGAAAGATAGTGAGGGAAAGACCCATTTTCAGTTTCCAGATCTTTTAACAACTAAAAAATGGACCCATAATAACACATTTTAACACTGCTCATCCCTAACTTTGCCAAGAAAGGAGTGTTCCAAATTCATATTTTGTACATCTACACATCCTGTAAACCTGTTAATCTTTCCCAAATCAGACCTTGAAGCATCATTAAATTTCACAAATAAAAAAATGTCAAAGTTTCCTTTTGAAATGTATAGGAAGACATTGCAGTCTACATGACTGGCTAATCATTTGCATCTAAATCATGTATCCCTTTAATCCAAACATTATTACTGGCCCTCACTCACCTGAATGGAAATTTGTTTGCATATCCGTAAGCAGCAGAGGCTATCACAGCTGTGAGCTCTAACACAGTACTGGGCATGCTAATACCCTCTCCACTCCTGGCTGAGATGATTTTGACAATCTGAGGAACTTTCACTGAAATAATTATCAAGTGAATAAAAAGTATGTGACATTACACTATATTATATATGCCATTGGAGCATAAGCTACTGTCCAAGTTGAATTTTGGATGGATAATTTTGTTCAGATTGATCTTAAAATAATTCTATGGAGGCTACGCAGCATGCCTCAGAAAGAAACTGAATTTCAAAATTCTAGCTTCAAATTCTGTACATCATGTTCCAGTACTTCAACTCAAAATAGTGGAAATATTGTTACTATTTCATTATTTCTAGCAAGACGAAAAGTAGGAAAAGTATAGCAATTCAGAGATGGGCCATGTTTAGTTATATGTAATGTTCAAATATAGTTTTGCTTATAGCTTTTGTAAAGTGGGCATGAGAATTCTAAAATTAAATCTTTTTAGATAAGAGGCATTCTAAGTTTGCATACCTAATACTGAACCAAGGATTATCCCATATCCTAGACACTTGCTGATGACAATCTTCAAACATGGTACTGTAAATAAAAAAATCAAAAATGCATGAACTATTGACAAAGAAAACATAATAAAGTACCTACAAGTTGATAATGACGAAATGCATTTCTTAAATCCAAATCATAACTTCACTGGCAGATAAAATTGGATCGAATGGCTAATCATCCATTTATAACATTAGTTGTGACTATATGCATACGTTTTTATAACATCACGTGAAACTTCAACTGAAGTAAAAGCTAGCAATTTCCACCCCTAAGGCTAAAGATAATGTATGGTATTATTGTATAGCATACCAAATTTTATGCCACTGTTTACAGTGGATGCACTGGTGTTCATTTACTGATATTCCACTGTTGAAATGCTTGAAATTACAAATGCCACTGCTACAATGAAGGCGACAGATTCTAAAGGAATTGAAAATGGGGCGGGGGTCCACACTGTATGACAAAACTGGTAAAGATCCATATTTCAAGCCGGTAGCTTGATATCTTATAACTGAAAAATATAACCCATATTCTTAATCAAATGAGAGCAACACTAGCACTTACCGTCAAAGAAGTCAAAATCTACGAAAAATTTGTCAAAACAAGGTTGTGGGACCAAAAGTTGGACCCAACCGGCGAGCAACTGTGCAAAAGCCATGTTGACGACGCGCGACCTTGACCTTTTGGATCTTTACTCTTTAATCCCATAACGAAAATTACCCTCATCATATTGTGTTGCTTTACACATAAATCACAATTTTAACTGATGATATTGATTTAATTTTATTCTTTACTATTAAAATATTTAATTATATGCCAAATATGGATTTAGGTTTGAGGCTATAATTCAGACCGTCTGCTTTAGGTTGAGGTTGACGTTGCAACGTGCAACTCCAAACACTAGAGCCTTACTAGCTATTACCATTTTTTAAAGCTGAATACGTACGTTTATTAATCGTTCTACTCCCTTTTTCCATTTTGCAAAAAAAATAAATGTATATATATTTACATTTTTTCTGTAGAGACTAATGAAAAATTGAGAAAAGTTTTAATTTTAATTAGAATTCTAATTGTATCAGTATTTTTAAATTTTTATAAACTTAGGTTTCATTTATTTATTTATATTTATTAATTTGTTTATTATTATTATTATTATTATGAAAAACTGACAAAGTGTGCTTTGCAGACACAAAAAAAAATAAAATGTTTTATTTATCTATAGGTAAGTACATTCTGATTTTAATGCTAAAGTGTACTTGGTGATTTTTCACAAATTTTATTATCATAATAATATTTATTAAAATATAGTTAGTTCAAACACTTGAATGTATATTAACAGAACTTTCATTAACATTCGTAAGATGAAATCATTTAACTAAAGTCAATAACTTAATCAGCTTAATTTCAATAATTTACAAACAAAATATATTTCTGTATAAGAATACACTACTATATGTATCAAGATATATATATATTTACATGTAAGTTGATGTAACAATACAAATGCATGATTTATTCAAAGTTCCCTGTTAAGTTGGACGGAAAGTTTTTCAACTTTAAAAAGTTGACACAATTTGAACAAAATTTTTTTTCAAATAAATAATTATAAAATTTTAAACAAATGTTGCACAATGTGCAAATTTGTACAAACATACAATAAAACAAAGGAAAAAATCTTTGCTGTGTTAAAGTCTTTTACGATATATATGAAGTAAATAGAAACACAATTTTTTGAGAGCGATGCAATAAATTATATAAAAATGCCTGTGCATCTATGAGAGCCTAATTGCAACAACCATTATTCTGTTTTAAAAATCTATGCCATTGTGCATTCCACATGCATTTGATCAATCAACTTTTTTATTCTAAACTCTGCGTAACAGTCAAGAGTAAAGTTCTCTGATATTGGTTTTACTAAATCACACACACGCACACACTCCCAACTCTGTTTTCTAATACCAAGCATTTTTCTAATCACTGGAGTCCTCAGATTCTGACATACACTCAGATTCAGAATTAGACGAAGGCACTTCCTCGCTCTCAATAACTTTCATCACCCGCTTATTACATATAACAGACTGTGAAGCTGGTTCATTCCTATTGTTCTCTCCCCCAGCCCCAACTTCCAAGGAATCTCTGATGTCTTTAATGCCTTTGTAGTGGCTTCTTTGAAATGCCATGATGCAGTGGAGGTTTCCGCCAACCTTCTTGGTATTCCTCTTCATCATCCCCTTCTCCAGACGCCTGATGTCCATGTAGTCTGGGTTTTGGCAGTTCAGGTCTGTTGAGACATCTTCCCATCTGAAAAGTCAGGATTTAACTTTGAAGGTGATTTAACAGCTCAAGACGTGTAGCACATAAGAAGTTATTTAAAAAAAAAAAAGAAATTTTGACAGAAAAAAAAGATGATTGTAACTTTGAGTGCATAACCCAACTGATGAAATTCTTGGCTAAAATGATCCCCTCACATTAAAACATTCAGTGAAACTCACTTTTTACAGTGCATCCCTGGGTGTTTTCTACTCGGGTCTCCAATCAGGATCCATGTTTCTACCTCTTCTTGGGATAAGGGACACCTATCAAAATTTAACAAAACTCAACTTCAGTCACAAAATGTCAACAAAATTCATAATTTAAACACACACACACACACACCTGTTTTGAATTTGAAATTTGTAATTTTTAATTAACTTTTAAAATGGAGATAGAGACTGCTAGTAATAACACGTGAAGGTAAAAAGAAACTTAAAAAACTTGAATTATAGGTAATTAAAGATCACAACTTCCTGAACAGTTTTGGACAGAACTTATCTGTTTCATCAAGTTTGAAGAAAGTTCCCTAAAATACTTTTTTTTCATTATATACAAGGTTTAACTTTTATTGCAAGCCTTTAATTAAAATGCACTCGTCAGTTCAAAAATGAACCAATATTGGCAACTTTGTTACATACTGTATACACTCTACATGACTATAGAACACTGACACCACCCAAATCCCCTACCTGTAGGCATCACAGGCTAACAGTGGAACATCCTCATACCCAATGGGACAGAAATAATGGTTCTGGCAGTGATATATGAAACAAGTTTCGTCCCCAGCAAGACCAGCTTTTAAAGACTTCAAGGCACTTTCTGATGTAACTCCATAGGTTTTGTTGAGCCCATTGGGTTTGTATAGGTAGTATGTTCTTCCTCTGACTTTGAAATGGTCATTTATTTGTCTAAACCACCTGCAACGATGCACATAAACATTGACAATTATATCTGTAATACAGTGCAATAATCTTTAATTATGAAGTTTTCTATTAAGTATCAAAATTATATTTCAAAATTTACAAAAGCACGTAAATTTTTCTAACATTAACTCCTTTTAAAGACTTGTCATTTTCAACTCATCAACATTCAGTGTCTGACATGGGCCTTACTAGCACTTGCAAATAACCTTTTTTAATTTTTTTTAATTTATGCAACTTCTGGATGTCTCTAGTTTTATTTTTAAAAAAATTATACCCAATTTCAAAAAGACTTGCCCTATATTATTTTCTCTTTCTTTAGACAAAATCAAAAAGTGTTCCCAAAGCTCAAAATCTAGTGGACACCCAATTAGTGCATCTGGGAGTGAGGCAACGTACCTCATGAGTGTAGCATTGCCAGTGAACGGTCCAAATCGTATGGCAGAGAAGTCTGGGCCATGGAACCCCAGGATGACTAGAGCCTCTTCTTGGGTGATAGGACGGAGACTGAAAATGAAAATTACCAATTATTATTTATTTTTTGTACATTATTTTTTTTATTTCTGCAAATATCATTTAAGTATTTGCAACAAACATGGAAATTGATAAGAACAAAATTAATTAATTAACTAAACAATTTGATTCTTGTATAAAACAGCTTACTTTCCAACTCCCAGCTTGCTAAACAGGTAGTTCCAACAGGAGACCACAGAAGACAGGCCACACGATGTCTTGTACTGGGGTCGACTCATACAGTACCTGATATAATAGACAAGTACTGCACAAAATGAAAATTTGTAATAGATACACCATGAGTCAGTGAGGCATTTGTAATTTATTCATGAATACAGGAAAGGCAAAATACACAAGATACATGTACACGATAACCACTATCTTTTTTACTCTACCATGGAGTAAATTACTCTCCAATTCATGGCAGAATGAAACTAAACATTTCTGAAACTAAACTATGAAATTATCAAAAGGCATTTTGCTCATATTACACCTTCCAGTCTTATATCCAATGATAAATCCAAACCCCTAAATGCTGTGCCTTCATACTCACCATCTTTTCAGATCTAAGACTTTTCTCTGACCCATCAATTCACTTGTGGCCTGGTTGGAGGGGGGTGTGTATGGAATGCCCTTGTTGATTAACTTTGCCTGGGCTATCTTACTAAGGTGCTTCTTGGTTGGGGCAGACTCATTTGTTTGTGCTGAATTTCAAATAAAAGGGTATGATTTCAAATTGTGCATGTCCCCAGGAATAAATTGGCTAATAAATTGAACAATGTTACTGAAGATAATTATAGCACTTGATGTGCTACCCATTTTTATTATTATTTTTTAATGCTTTTAAAATAATAAAAAGCAACAGCCTTTTTATGAAAAAAAGGTAAGTTTGCCTTAACTAACTTGACAAATCAGAAAATAATAATTTGAAATACTATGCAAATAGGATGAAAACTAAACACTAAGGACACCTGAAAAATCTGAACTTAAAATAAAAGGAATGCATATTTATGAGGTACCTTAAAATACAAAAGGAGAGACAAATTCCAAACTATCAATTAGATACAGTCATTTTTATATCTCACCATCCTGAGCTTTCTTTTTCTTCTTTTTCCCTTTTGTATTCTGTGTGGCTGGTTTGTTGAAGTCAGTGATATCAATGTCCCATACCAGACCTTCATTAGGGCATTTACCTTCTAGCTGCTTAGCTGCCTGAGTATTATTTGGTTGATCTCCAGAAGAAATGCCTTCCACAGGCTCTAAACCAAAGATATAAAACATTTTATTGTCTTCATGTGTTTATGGAGCCAGTTAATGTTATTTTCATTTAAATGACATTATTCTATTATCAATTTGATCATTTTTTAAATATATTCATTATGTTTGGGCCACCATTTCTTGTGACTTATCTATAAGTAAATGTTACCTAAATGCACATCATCAGAAGTCACTTCTTCCCTCTCCTCCTCATCCTCTGTGTCACTAGGACTGGTGTCCACTAGATCTGCTGGACTGGCTTCTGGTGCATAGCCCAGGTAGCCACGCACAGATGATGTCACATTTCCCATTTTATTTCATGAAGTTACATCATCCAAAGAACTCTGCAGTAAAAAAATTAGTAAGCATTTTTTTGAGAATCTTATTTTATGTCTACTGTTGTGCTACATAAAAAAACACAACTGAATTGTGACAATTGTGGATAGGTTCAGTCCTCTCAAATTTCATGAAAATGGTTAGTCCTCCTCACGAACAGACTGTCCATTATAAAAAGGTGCCAAGTGAAGGCTTACAGTAGAAGTACATAAACTAGTCTCTAATCTGCTGCATAATTGGGTTATTGATGCCATAATGGGATGACACTGCTCCTGCATGTACAAGTATCAAATTGAGGATATACAGTAGGAAACATACTACATAAAAAAATGTTTAAAAAATAAAATAGTCCTGTCGGACTAAATGATACGAATACGTAGCACGGAGTTTACTGGAGACACCGTTACTGAGCGCATTTGTTGACGAGCTTTCTTTGATTCAAACGGCCTGGCAGAAGTAACTTGGTTGTTTTGGAATTTTGGCTGTAGAAACATTCTAGATCTACTAGCTCTTGGATCTTTGCTTTGCGAAAATAAACGGGGTTTTACAGACATCAAAGCTAAGTAAGACAAAAAGTCCTTGATGTAAGAAAGTTTGTGCAAGTATCTGACCTTTAAAAGAATAAAAGAACAACATTTAGATGATAACAAATAGTGCAATACCTTCAAAATTCGAATTTGCCCCTTTCAAATCAAAACAGGAAGTATTCCCTATTGCGCATGCGTACAGTGAATTAGGTCAAGGTGAACAGCTGATTTTTGTTTGGGAGTCGGGTTTCTGCCTTATTTTTAATTTTATTTATTTTTCTATTCTTAACAACTAGTCTAGATGGAATTTATCGAATAATTTATCAACAAAGGATACTTTTAAGGTAATGACATGGGTTAGATTTAGATATTATATCTTTTTTTCCAATAATATATTACTCAGTATATTTTTGTCATCTTGAGTGTCGTCTGCTAGCCGAAGCTAAGAACGAAAAGGTTGAAGTGAAGCTTTGCTAAATAACTACAAGAAAAAGTCATTTCGCTTTTTCATTCAATTCAGCTCATATTTTTTCTTTGGTTTGATGAGGATGGTTTATGCTTATAAATATTTGGAATTTTTCTCTAGAAATATATGCGTACACAAATTAGTAAAAAAAAAAAAACTTTGAAAAAATATTAATACAGTAATAAACAAACAAATAAAAAGTAATTGAATAGACCAAGAAGTCAATTAATTTAATTGATTAAAAATTAAACAGAATGAATCTATATTGATAGTTGAATGGTTTAGTACATAATTTATTAATGAGTTTTTTCTTACCAGCTGCAGTCAGATTATTGTTTGAAAAACAAAATGCATTTATTGTTTTCAGCATGACAAGCAAAAATGCAAAAAACACCACGAAAAGAAAACATGATGGAATATTTGGAACACCTCCTGAGCCTGTCTTCAATGCCTCTCCCTCAGCTATGACCCCTGAGATGTTAGAGGACTGGCTACGAATCCTTGTGAGCCAGAATGAGCAGAGAATGTTGAAAGCTAATGTAGCTCATGTATGTTGGATATGAGTGTATTTCAGTTCGTGTGGGATATAAAGTTTCAGAGGTTCAAAGGTTAATTGTTCTGATACTTTTCTTATTATTTTTGTGCAGAAATTTATCACTTTAGCATTTCCTATGTGTATCAGAAAGTTACAACAGTTTCAACCAAATTTCTTTAAACAATATTTGTTGAAGTACCGGGGAACTAGTGTATTTGGGTATGTATAAAAAATTGAGGAGCTTTAAAGTTTTTTTTTCACTTTGTTATATTTTGTGCCAATAAAGATTTATTCTAATAATTTTTTTTTTCTTTTTTCAAATGAAAGTTAATAATAATAATTAAAAGTAATAATAATGATGATAAAAAAATAATCTTTGGAGTAAAGCCTTGAGTATATGCAGTGTTGCAGACATCAGTAAAATTAGATCATGAGCATATTTTTGGTCCAGCTGTGTGTATAAAAATAAAAATAAAAATTGGTTTCAATTACTTTGGTAGCTTAATTGGTGAAAAATAGTTGATGGAATGAAAGTTGATGCAGTAAAGCCTTTTGCTTCATAGAATATGTAACCTGTTGTTGTCCCAATTTTACCATCAGCAGCTAAATTGTAACCTTAATTATCATCAATAGAAAGGCCCAGCACTACATGTACCACTTTGGAAATTGAGAGTGAAACTCCATTAAATCAAGATCCAGAGTGATTACTGCAGTGTAAAGTTGTGTATAGCAAGTGTTAAAAGCCCCAGACCTCTCATCATGAAATTGCAACCTTATCATTTATTTATTGAGAACAACGTCTGATAATTAGGCAGCCAAGACTAAAAGCTATGAACTCTTCAACTAAGTACACTCAGAGGATTATATTTCACTGTCCTTGTTAACATTGTTTTCAATACACCACGTGTTTACTCAGAAAGCTTTAACCTGCTCAGACATTTTAAAGGTAACTGATGAATTTTAGACTTTGATATCAAAATACAAAAATTCATTTATACTTATCCCCAAAGTATTTTATGTATACTAGTAGTTATACTGGTACATTGAACATGTACAGTATGTACCATAACTAGGACATTCACAGAATTACAATCTATAAGTTAATTTTTGAATTCATTTTCAAGTTTTCATCACTTGTCACAAAAAAAAGTTAAATTTCATTTAAAAAAAAGGTTTTAAAGATTATAATTTTCTCAACAGTTTTGGATTTGGCATACCTGCAGTTGGTGATAAAAGATTTTTTACTTTTATATATACAGATATAAAACGCAAGCATTTAATTGAATATCACTATGATTAGAATTAACTATATGTACTGTAATTTGAAAAATTAACATATAAGTGCTAGTAAGTAATTTGACCACTTTGGTACAGACAAGTGCATGTACTAGATAATAATTACTCAGGTGCTGTAAATATTGAATGAATTCATTTCATTTCAGGGATATTTTAAGAGTGGAGATGCCGTTCAGTTTGTGTTTTTAACTTGTGAGCATTTCAAGTTGGCAGATGAGGCAAAATATATTGCAGTGGAGCTATTTGACAGGTACATGTAGGCAAAAAAAATACTATGCTGAGTATCATTGATGATTTTAAATGTGCTTATATAATTAACTTGAATTTTTATGCATTTTTTCTTTGTAATGAGATGACTTTCAGATTATGTTTACAATTACTGGTGTACATGTCACATTCAAGTTATTTAATGATTATTAATCACTGTGCAAAATATTTTGATCTGAAAAAAAATAGAGAAAACATGAATGCTTCCGTGGGATTATTGTAACATCTCTGTAACTTCCTGAAGTAAAAATAAATTGTATTTAATTAAAAAACTCTAGTATGTTGTAGGTATATTTAAAGATTTATAAAAAACAAAACATATATAACATATTTCAAACAAGCCATAATGCATTTTTCTGATTTAGTTTTTGTGATCAACTTGAAGTCCAAACTTTGACCGCATTCAGATAAACCCATCATGCTAACTGGATCTAATCAACTCTGGGATATTGTTGCTGAAGTGTATATGTTATCAGCTTAATTGTCTGGCATGTTTCCTCGAGAGAAAGAGCTAAGAGCCCATAATAGTTAATTATACCCCCTTGCTAGTTTAGAAGGCATGACAGACAATTAAGCTGATTACATTGACTGCACTAAAGCGAGAACCCCCACAGAGTTGGATCGATCCAGCTAGTATGATGGGTTTATCTAAACTCTCCCTCAATCCATTAACTTAAAATATAAAATTTTTCTGCCATAGTTTTATGGTCAGACACATCACAGACCTGTGGTGTGAGGTCAAAGAGATGAAGATCAGTAAAGAAGAGAAGAAGAAAAGGTGGAAGGAGATCAGGGTTGGGGTGGAGAGACAGATGGTAATAAGGGTGGTCAGCTGTTGTCAACTGGCCAGCAAGCTGACCTCTCACTACAAGGTGAGCTCTTTGTGTTGAGATTATTGTTATTACTGATATATTTTTGTTTTTTAATTTTTAATATTTAATTTTTAATATTATATTTTGTTTCTGTATCAAATTATATCTCATCCCAATTACTATTATTATTATTATTAGTAGTAGTAGTAGTAGTATTCCATTTTTACATATGAATTTATTCATATGCTGAAAATTATGAAATTGAAAATATTCTCATAAAAATAATTAAAAACTTTGATGAAATTTTAAACTCTGTGAAGTCCAGTGTAGACAAAGAAAAATACAATATATTTGCAACAGTCTAAAAAAGTTTGTAACAAACTCTTGCCGAGAAATGCCATATTCTTATATTCTTCCAGTTGCACTTGTTGCACATTTTTTTTTTTTTTTGCTCATTTTAGTATTAGGCGATAGAACATCAAACATCCTGCTCCATTTTGTTTTATACAAATTGCAAAAGTATATTTCTGTGTTAATTTTTTGAGTAAAGAATAATACTTTAATGAACTCAGAGTTCAATTATTCTGTTGATAATTTACTTGCAATTCATACATTTTCAGATCATAAGCCCCCGGCGAGTTAAAAAGTTCCTCCAAGAATTTGTGAACCAGCGGTACAGCGCAGATAGCATTATGCAGTCAGAACTTAGGATTTTGAAGGCACTTGAGTACAAAGTGATGATCAGTTCTCCACTTTTGTATGTGGAGACATTGCTGGAAGTATTAGGTCTGTATATATAAAAATAGCCACTACATTTATTTATTTATTTATTTATTTATTTATTTATTGGTATTTTTGTCAATCTCTTGTACATTTTCTACATGATATAATTAAGAATGTACTACCATTTTGGTTGAACATTTTTGTTAATACACCAGTAATTGATATTCATATACAGTAGATGGAGGAAAAGAAGCTTAATTTATTGTAAAAAAAAGCCAACTGAGCTTGAAGTGGTGATTGAATATATTAAAGACCTATAAAAGAAGCGCTTCATTGCTTGTTTTAGTGAATCACTTCATTTATTATCAATTGATTTTTATTGATATTTGATTGGCAGGCCACACAGAGCCAGACCTGAGTGTGAAGGTCTACCACGGTGTTGGCCTGAAAGTGATGGACCTGGTTTACATCCAGAGGAGAGAGATATACGATCTCCTCTTCCTGACGGCTCTGGAACAGGACACAATATCAGAAACTGACAGGTGCATGAAAATATGCCAGTCTACCACTTAAATATATAGATGTTTTTGATACAGGTTCAAAATAAATTACCTGTGTTTTAACAAAACTTGTTTAATCAGTTACAATTATTATTATATGTTAAATAATACTTATAAGAATTTACTGCATAGTAATTTTGACAAAATTTTTGATTAACATTTTAAAAAATCAAGTGAAAAATTATGATTGAATTTAAATCTAGACTCAATGTAGCTTTGTTATACCTTGTATTGTAGGAACAAGTGTATTTCATTAGAGTATGACATGTTTCTGCTCTCATCATCTGTGATATCAGCTGCTTCCTATGTTGTGGATCAGACCAATACAGACAAGGTGACTATTATTATTATTATTATTCATTGTACCAGGTATATCATTTTATTTTCGTTTTGTTATTAGTTTTATTTTTGTGAAAAGTTAACACATCTATTAGTCAAAAGTAAAATGTGGCAAATTGCACATAAGTTTCTATGATGTGATAGGTGCATATTTATCAATTTTTGATAGTCACTTAACAAATTTCCACAGGTGCATATTTATCAACTTCAATGTCCAATGGTATAATCTCTGTAGGTTTTTGTCACATTTAAATCTGTCATATATGTAGAAATGCTTTCTGGACACATTGTTTCTATTAGTCAAAAATTACGCCCAACTTCATAAATATGTATTAAAAATAACAATAGTTTCTTTTTTTAATATGATAATCATTTAATACAAACTGAAAGTAATTAAATTTGCACACCGTAAACTTGAAATGGGTTTGGTTCATTTGCTATCAATATTCAAATGTTATTTAATGTGAAGAAATATCGATTGATCAGTGGATTGTTTGGTTGGTTGCTTTAAATATTGATCGACTTTTCAGAAAGGCATTAATAATGAATAGCTGAGCTCATCACATTTCAATTGTTTTTAATATTTTTTCTTGTTCTTTGTCAGGTCATTGATCATTTGAGTCAGATCACCAAGATCCCTACCAGTGATATTCTGGACTTTGCAACTGTGATAGTACAACATATATTGCAAATTTAAAACAAGATTATTGAGTCAGTGTGTGCACTGTTTATTTATTCATTTATTTACTTTTGGGCAGGTAACTTGAAATGTACATTTTCTTTTATTCTTTTTTACAAATGTTTATTTCCTCCCTTTTTATTAAATATGTATCTGCTGAAAATCTATTGATTTACATGAATTATTATTATTATTTCATTATTTTATTAGTAACTTGTCAGTGATAAGCAGGCTATAAAGTGCTTGTTGAATTTACAATTTTACAAATTTTAATATTCTTTTCTGTGTTTAATATTTATGGCATTGTCATTAAATCTCATCTACTGAGTTTTGAAGAGTACATGATTCTTTTTATTACCAGAGTAATATAGTCATTGAAATGTGTTTATATATTTACCAGTGATAGTTATATTAGAGACAGTACTACTCTATGTTTACATTATACACTGTATATAAAAGTGTTAAGCGATATCTAATCAAATACACGTTTAGGGAAGATGTGTATGATAATCATATAAATATGTGGAAAATAAATATTAATTAGCTTCAACACGGCAGTGTGTTGCAAGAGTTTTACTTAAATTTCATGTTTTAATTTCAATGAAGTTGTCTGTTGTCGTTATGAAGAATAAGCATTGAAAATTGGACGGATCGCCTGCCGTTTATTAAATCCTCGAGAGACCGACTCTCAATCTGGACATACACGTAGGCGTCTAACAGACGTCATGTCAGGAAGTGAAAATCCTTTGAGGGGTCGTTTTAATGGTTATTTCTTTACCGCTGGGACTTACCTTAGTAATTATTGATGGTTTATAATTGATGGCACCTCTACTTCGGGGATGTAGAAGAGTCATTATTAATATCGTTTAAGTAATATTTTTAGAGACAATTAAAAAAAGTCTTACCGATAAAAGCTGAGAACCGACATTAAAAGCAGTGAAGCTTCATTTAAAATAATAATAATAATAATTTATAATAATTGTTCCCATGGAAAAAAATCATATCGAGGTTTCTCTTTAATAAAAGTACCCCTCGCAGTATACACGTAAAAAGTTGTTTGGTCACAAAGAATCATTCATTTATCATTATTATTTTGTTTTATTTATTTATTTATTTATTTATTTATTTATTTATTTATTTTGTACGTGAGCATACTTCAGAAAAATAATCAAATATATACAGGTAACTCATAAATCTCTAAAACACCCGCCATCTCACAGTGCTCCCGGTAACTTACAACATGTTTGTAAAGTAGTCGGTAGACTCTGAAAATCAGGGTTGCCGATGAATTCTATAATGCTCATCCACCCCATTGCCATTTCCAATCTACTTTCATCTCTAAAAGCTGTGGGGACTTTCCAGTGGGACTCAATTAAATCACATACATGTACCATAGCCAATATTTTAGATGACATACTGAAAAACAAAGGCGTCATCTCGTAATTATTTTATTTGGAGTGGATAATCACTCGGAAATAAAGTGATTCGATGGCCCATTGATGGTTGACTTGAACTTTTGGTGTAAGTAAATAAGTACATGAAGAGCTAGCAAACCTTTTAAAGATGTGATAAAATAGGATAGTTCATCTATATTGTACGGATTCAATCCCAGCCCCAAAGTTTGATTGCTAGGCCCCTGCATCGACGGCGAGTGTGGAGGCAGGGAGACCATCAGGGAATTAGCGACAATGCTCTTAAGGTGGGCCGGTCATATTATTTAGTCCGCGGATCAACTTGTCGTGAATGTGCTCTGTTATTCTGGAATTGTGATCCGCAAAACAAATTACATGGGCACCTTGTGTAAAGTAAATGATGGATGTTTTTATCCGGAGATAATTTTCTGCAATCAAATTCGTAAATGGAATGGGATTATTATAATCAGAAAAAGTGGCTTACAAAGGGCAGATGCAGGAAAATTGCTGAAATTTCCAGAGCTTTAACGTCTGACGCGCAAGGTTATGGGATTTTTTCCACACTGAAACGAAACTTTGATATAAACGCTATACACGAATGAGGCGGATCCAAGACTTATTAAGTGAAGTGAACTGGATGTAAACTATTTCTGTGATCTCCACGGGTTTCTGGTAGTCAAACTGAACGTATATTATTTCCCCCTTTTTCACTGACACGAGCGAAACAACCCTCACTGTAAATTAATGTTTATTTATTAATTAATTAATTAATTTATTTATTTATTTATTTATTTATTTATTTATCCAATGACTTAATATCTGCGTCATAATTCGACCTTTTATATACACACAGCCCGCAACATTTCTGCATAAAGATATACTGTAGCACAGATAACAGATATATTATTTCTCCTGCAGCTAAAAATGAATCCTCACCCAAATCATTAGATTGATGCTCACTGCATTTTTTCACAGTTAAAGCCAGCATGAAATTATCTCAGAAAAAGACACGTATGTCAATCCTATTACGTGTGTGTCAATTGTGTGTATCCAATTAAATACGCCCCAGCGGCAATAAATTTCCTCGCGATAATATAATATACTGCAATATGGAAAGGAATGAGAAATGTCACGCCTAGATCTCTGAAGAGATCTAGATTTCTTCTATTTTTTTCTCATTAACCTTTCAAGATGATACTGGTAGATACTTTTCAGTCTGTGAAGGAAACTAATATCGCCGGCTAAATGCTCCAAGCATAAAAATCTCCCGACACAGACACGAGGTCAGCTTAACTGCTGTTTATTTTTTCTGTTAAGCATCTTTTACTTTTACGGTTTACAGTATGGCACACGAATGATAGGCTAATGTAACACGATGTAGGAAACACACTTCTTTGGTTGTCTGAATTACCGAAAAATATGCAGAACTGCTTTAATGGACGCCTGTTTCACGCATCCAAAATATCAACCACACGATAATTTCTTTTTACAATTATTCCTCGCTGCCACATAACGCTACAATAATAAATATGGGGTGGTAAGGATCCAATTATATAACTGTTTAAATTAATATACTGCCAACCAAAGTTCATTGGAGGTAGGAGACTCTTGCTCAAACCAGAGACTTTTCCAACGGTCAAACACCACACACTGGTGCATCTATGCCTTCCTTGCAAAACTGAATTTCAGAGCATTCTGGAAACACGTCTCTATGCCACTGTATTACGTCCACAATAAGGTTGATTATATGAAAAAATTATGATACGTTTACCACAAATGTTCTACAAAAATTTAAGGTTTGTTCGAAGGCCAAAGTTTGATTCGCTCGAAGAAGGAATTGTACGCATTGCGTACTTGCTTCAGTCGTACACCGTACACCACGGCGTCCGACAACGGATTGAGCAAAGTTATCAACCCCACGGTGTCCGTTACCCATTGGCCAATGACCCCATGATCAAATATTGTCAAGAAATACAGAACCACCATTGGTGACCAGAAGACAAACAAGGTACAAAACAACATGCTGACAATAATGTAAACGTTACTGCCGTCCTTCTGTTGGATTTTCGATTGGTTATTTTGGGAAATATCGTGTCGCACTCTCTGTCGTCTTAACATTATCATAAGGAGCAGATATAAAAGTAAGTTAATTAGAAATAGTGACGCCACGAAAACGCCATTCGCGATGAAGTGAGGGTCCAGGTATTTCATATGCCTATGTCTGTTAAAGAAAATCACTGTACAGTCTATTTTGGTCTGATTTGGGGCATCGGTCAACGTCGAGACGGTCAAATAGACAAGTGGTATAACGTAAGTGGAGACTATCAGCAATACGACCACTTTAGGTGTGAAAATCAAGCCATGGCGTAGCGGGAAGGCCACACCCATAAACTGATCCACAACAAGCCAGGTTGTAGCCAAGAACGGGAAAAACTCATAGATCCATTCCAAAGACACGGAAATGCGGTACAGGCATGAGAGCGGTCCACTGTCGTACCAAATTGCGATATCATTTCCCGCCGTGTCGTCAGGTTGCAATGAGACGTCATGCCCGTTCGTAACGGTATTTCCAAAAGAAGTTGTCACGTCATGGACCGACGTGACGTCATTTTCATTTGTAACACCAAACTGAAAAACTGTGAAGTTTACACCAGCGCGTATTTCGTCGGTCAATCTCACAGCATCTAAGCCAGATGATAGCATGGGAATTATACAAAAAACAACGTTTGCGAAGGCAAGGTTAATCAAGAGTCGTCCGAATCTTTTGTTAATAATTGAAGAGGTGCGCAGGATGCAAAAAGATATCATGTTCGCTATGCCACCAAGGGAAGCACAAAGGAAAGCAATTACACATGTATGTCTATATTTCTGGTGAATAGATAACTGTTGTAGCGCTCCAAATTTCCACCTCTTCCACTGCTATTTGAGAGTCCAGTGTATTCCATTTCTATAGGCTACCGAAATCAGTAATACTATCCAATACTATCCAACTATACCATATATATATGTGTATATCCTTTATGGGTCGAGTCTTTTACAGGCGAAAAATGTAGTCAGGATAATTACTCGGCTGGCTACCAAATGTTTACCAAAGCGCTCAGCGTCCTTCGACTAATTATATAATCTCAGTTATGAATGTACCGTGGCAGCTCGATCCCTTAAATCAGCTTCCAAAGTTAAACTACGTCGTTGCTGTGTCAATGCCAGTGCTTTAGTCCTATTGCACTCCGAATTGCTGTCATTTTACCTTACCACCCCAACGGTTGCATTGGCAATATCACTTTCCGCACGTGCATGCTGAAAACACGTTAAGAAATTAGGTATTATTTGATATTGGTTTTGTCATACTAAGAGCATTTATTGTGCCTTGTTGTACCTCGGTAATGTGAAATTTTAATTTCTTCAGTAGGCCTAACCGCGCCGCACTCAGGTTTCATTGTCATCAATCAATTTGAATGTCTAGGTACATCCTATTATAATAGATATAGGAAGGATGAGTCACCTTTCCGCAATATATGGAGTGGGAATGTTGAGTAATGAGTGGGCGTGGTCAAATTCTCAAAGGTATACAACACACATTAAACTTTTTTATACAAATAAAATGAA